TTGACGTGCACTAAGCTCTTGTGCTAAAGATCCAATGCTTTAGCTCATAGTGTGAGCTGCGACCCTTTATGAACTGCTTGTACTGGGACTGAGATTCATGATTTATGTCCGGTCATTACACTCGGAACACTCGGAACTGGTAGAATCAACCATCTCCATCCCTTGGACTGAAATCCATCCGGACACCCAGTACCCCTTTGTCATCCCTCCAGGACTCTGTATGCTATTTGGGGAAGAGCTCCTCCCCATTCTTCACCCTCCCCCTGACCTCATCCTTCCTGTCCACACAGCCTATTGCGTTCTATAACCCTGAGCGGAGAAACCATTCACAATTGTATGTCTTGGAGAATGATATGTGATCAAATTACTCTGATAAAACCCAAAAACAGCTCGGTTTCTCAATATCTCTTGATAAAATTCAAAGGCACAAAAACAGACTGTTAGGAATGTACGCTTGCTTCAAAAAAAATAAAGAAATTAGGAAAATAAAAAAAACCTTGGGCTGGCTTGAGATCAAAAATACTGGAGTGCATGGATTGGATGGATGGATTGATTAGATAGATTGGACCGAATGGAGTATAATATGGATCGGACGCACAGGATTAGAACACAGATCAGAATACTGTTTGGATGGAATGCCCTTAGAATGTACGGAAAAATAGGAAAACACTCGACATCTACAATATTGTAACGGTACTGGAAACACGACGACTAGGTCGCAGGTTGGGTCGAACTCGATGGATGTCTCGTGGAAATCTAGGGGCTCTGGTGCTAATGGATCGTGTCTCCTCTGCAATCGATGTAGCCAAAGAATGATATTGAAGAATCAGCAAAGTTGGTACTTTGCTGATTGTACTATATACTGTCTACGGCTATCTTTGTCCTCGTCTCCTTCCTGCTGCAAGCGTCTACGTACATACTCGGACAGGTGAAAAACCGCTTTGAGCAAACCCAGTGGGGAAAATCTCGAAAGGGGAAAACCCGTCCCTACCTACTGCAGCACTGCCTCCAACTCCCGCTTTCCTCCATCCTAATCCGTCGACCTCGATAGAGTTCCCTCGATTCGTTGTTACCCCGTAACAAATATCAAGTACAAGAACAGGATCATCATTCCCACTATCCTCCCACCATCATTATCCCTTTGCTCCTCTCAATCTCATTTGTTCCGTTTGATAAGCACTTCACCCTCTCCTATCGTTCACCCTCTCCTATCCTTATCGCTTCCCCCATGTTACCACTGTCCATTTACTCCCTGCAATAGCGGCTCACCTTTGTTCACCTATCGCTTTCACCTATCGCCATCACCTATCACTATCACCTATCACTATCACCTCTCGCTATCACCTATCGCTATCACCTATCGCTTCACTCTTCAATTACGCCATACGACTTCACTATCTCATAAGCTGCGAGGTCTTCGCTTTTCTGAGGGAGGGGAAGGTTGTAGTCGCTTCTAGATCCATGTGGTTCCTTCCACCCTTCCCTGGAACTTTCTATCACATTCTAGTACTTTCCTTCTGCTGGAATGTTCTCTCAGTTCTCCTGTTGATTTAGATCTGAGACAAGGTTAAATAGGCTGCTCTACCGTCTTTATGCATCCTTTTATTCTTCTGTTCTACATTGGAGACGTTCCGATTCCGATCGCGCGTGCTTACGATCGATCGTCAAGTTTTCCCTCTGAATCATGACGTTTGTCCATCTCGTCATCGGTCGCGATTCATGTAAGGTGATGTTCTTGGTACTCACTATCATGTCTCTCAATCACTCACGTTTACCATCGACCTGACCACAAGAGAAGGACTGATCGTCATTTTCAACATGTTTTCTAGGAAACAAGAACCAAGATGTAAGAGAGTGTTGGTCGTTGGTGCTGGAGCTGCAGGTATGGCATGTGCCGATTCTTTATCGCTTCATCCTGACAAGTTCAAGGTGACTCTGATTGGTGAGTCATTCTTTCTGCTTCTTCGTCGTTTGGCTTGACCGTTTGTCCTCTCTTACGCTATGATATGTCCGGGAGAGGAGACATGCGGCGGGATTCATTGCGATAACCAGTACTTATGTGTCATGATCCGGTGTCGGAGACTGATGAAACGCCTGGGAACCCGGGGTAGTAGCTGACAACTGATGGCAGACGCACAAGGATACTGCGGAGGACAGGCATTCTCTATCCCTCTACCCAAGTCGGGTCCGGGATCCAACGCCGGGGCAGAATGGATGAACCAAGGTGTTCAAGGCGGCAGCCATATCTACTCGTTAATACCACCACTCTTCCCGTACGGTCAAATGCGTACTGATATCCAGACATACTTTCTATCAATTCAGAAAGTTCGGCTACGAGGCTGAGCCGTAGGTCTCGCCATGTGAGCTCATGACGCGATGCTGAAAGGTAGAGTCGACTTACAGGTCTCGTTCGGGAAGGGAGACAAGGTGAGCTAGCAAACTACATAAGGGTCATCGCTGATGGGATAGTTTTGGTCCAATCTCTTCCCCACAAACCTGGTAGCTTCTCATGCGAAGGACATCGCTCGGTTCGAATCTGCCGTGAAATGGTTTCGTCGCCTGGAAGTCATATGGGCAGTCGTGCCGATCAAGATATCGTTGAAGCTGTGGGGTTTGAGTGAACAGTTTATCAATTACATGATTTATCCATCGTATGTCTCTCCTGCCTCTTCCTTGGACATTCCAGTTCAGACAATCTTCAGCACTGAAATATATTGGCTTTTTGGCGCTCAAACCTTTTGTGTGTGGACATATGGTTGACACATCAGCCTCGCCCTCTTCCTCGGTACGGGTAATGCTACTCCCGATTTGCCGACTATCATGCTCGAACGACTATATACCTCTCCGACATATGGTATGTGGTATCCAATCGACAACAAATCATTGTCGTCCAACCTTCCTCCCATGGTAGTGTTTCCGGAAACCTCTGCATTTTACTCCAAATGGCAAAAAACTCTCGAAGACAGAGGTGTCAGGGTAAGTTATTACCTTACGTTGAAAGTGGTGATTGAACATGGAATTGATTTCTAGGTGAAATTGAACACCGAGCTAACCACCGTCCTAACTCGTAAACCCACTGTGCAAGTATTGCTTCGTCCTCGGAGACAACAAAAAGACTTTCATAATCCGAATGACGCCGATGAAGATCTCGTACCTGTCCGGGAAGAATTTGACGAGATCGTCCTATGTGTGTTGTCCGACACTGCCAAGAGGGTACTGGGTAAGCAAGCGACATGGTTTGAGCGGTGGGTTTTGGGAAACGCCAGATGGAGTGATGATATCACCGTGACTCATACGGTAAGCGATCGTTGACTGGATGAATAGTGAACTGAACGATACAGGACAGTGAGTATATACGTAAACACTATACTGTCGAATTCGACGAAAGTCAGGCGGTAGAACAGCTTGGAGGGAGGGACGAATCCAGTCGTATACGTAAAGGTCGCAATGAGTTTCAACCGTAGGTCTCCTCAACTCCGAGTTCGAAATCAGTTGGTGTGTTGATAAACAGAATGTATATGATCGCTCAGGAGAAGGACCCTCGCAAATTGGTAGGTCACCAGGAGACCTCCTCGTATTAGTGATAGGAATGCTTACTATGGGAGGAAATGTGCTTTGATTGTTCTGCTTTCCAATATCAACTAGACAAGGTAAGTCAATACTATCGACTCGACTGACTTTCAGCATCGTCCATTTGAAGATCACGTCTTTCAAACCATCTTTCTGGACAAGAACAACGCACATTTGTGGACCAAAGAAGAAATCAGCAAAGACAAGATCAGTACGTTTTCTTCACGCTCACCAAGCTCCCACTCCAAAAGCTGACCGAACAGTCCGAGAAGATTGGTGGCACCAATTGTGTCATTCATGGACGCACTACGTGTCTGTCGTACCATTCATTGGGTTCTTGAATCGGAACAAATCGCATACGACTTATGCCGGATCATGGACTCTTGTCAACGCTCATGAGGTCGCGATCATCAGTGGGATGGTGAGTCGCCAGTCGCATGTGCACTTTTATAGTCATGGCTGATGGGAACAGGCCGCGGCGTACAAGCTCGGTGCTGACTACCCAAAAGAGTTGAGGGAGGATACGATCGGACGAAGGGCTATGGCGGCGTATTTGATGCTCGCTCATGGTCTTCGACTTCGAGGTGTTGTTTGAGTAGTCATGTCAGCCTGTAGCATGTATGTAACAGTAATGATTTGGATATCCCCACAGTGTCTCGTGTTCATATGGACTTATGACGACTGCTGGGAGGGTTAAGGAAGTCCGTTGAATCTTGATCGAGTACCAGCTAATCACCATAGATTATGATTGGTCATTGTCCTCCGCAACTCGGATGACATTAAAGTGATAGTTGTCAGGAGAGCCGTTGTCAAAAGCGCAGCGCTGCTCAGTGACAAGTAATCAAGTAGGACGCGTTCCGGAATAGCCATCGTATAAGCCGCTGATACAAGCAACGGTGGAGCAAGGGAATTACTGCATGATATAATACTCCGATGCAAGACAGATGTGATGAGCTACTACTAACACAACAAATCAACTATTGTCAAAGACCACCAAAGACGAGACCAATGACGACGTATATGAGAGTGAGACTGTGGTCAGTCAACAGAGATCTTAGTTGACAAGAGAGGCGTTGAAATGATCTGGAGGTCTCACAGGGGATCGTCCGAGAAGAAAGGCAGAGATTGCAGGGCATTTTCTCTGAGGCAAGGACAAAGAAAACATGCGGATGGTCTGAGAGAGAAGAGGTGGGGAAGTGGACAGCTTCAGCAAGGGATGTATAAGGTGGCGAACGAAGAGGCTAGATTATGAATGCAAAGATTCGATGTAAGGGAGATCAATGAAGGAGAAAAATCAATCACTCACGGCGGCGTCAAAACGGCATAAGACCAGCTGATGGTTTTCGATATCAATCTCTCGAAAGCATCCCCGGAAGCTGCCTGAGTGATCTGAGCCAAGGTCAATGCCGGTGGTGAAGAAACCAGCAACACGGCTGATAATATAAATACTGGGTCTTCGGCAGCTTCGAATGGGTCGGTCCGAGCTATCAAAGCTATAAGAGGTAACATGAGAAGGGGTACGACGACCATACGACTGATGACCGCCACAAAGACGGTTTTGTTCTCTCCTGAATAGACCGGATTGGAAGAATGGACTATGGAACGGAATTTTCGCTCGAAATAGCCTAGGGAGGTGTTGGATTCTGAGGGGGATTGAGGTGGAGGGATAGATGGTTGAGAGGGAGCGTAGAAGAAGGCGCCTAAAACCACCAATGTCACAGGGACTGGATTAATCAGCTCTTCCTCTTCAAGACAAGCTGGGGATCGTTCAGTAGTAGGCACTGTGTGATAGTCTTGCGACGAGAAGAAGAGCAATCTCATGATCCTTGTTGGAAACGGTGTCTGCGGGAGAGGTCTATGAGTGTATCCGGCGACTCACTTGAACATTGTCCCGCAGATCGTACAGCCTCTTCAAACGGTTTGATCTTCCCTATCGATGCTTGTAATGGCGGTATCAAAGCGATAAAGATTGATAGTAACGCAGCATACATGGGTACTGTCATGAACGCGTTGACGGCTTTCAAAGTTGTCCTTGCACCGTGCTTGATTTGCGACATCAAAGCACGTAAGCGTGTGGTAGGCGGTGTGGAGGTGTTCCTCCTTCTTAGCGAAAGTGGGGTGAGATCACTCTAATCATGAGTGTGCTATTTATGGCTGGGGGATGGGTATATGTTCTCACCAATTCCTCTTCCTCCTCCAACTCCTCGTCATCCTCATCACTACTATCCTCTGGTTCTGGCGATAACATCAATCTCTGTCTTCTTGGAGCTTCTGGTAAACCCCAGAATTCCCGTCCGCTTTCCGTCCTTGTGACGTGTTTCCGAGGGGGTACGGAACTCGCTCGAGCACTGGAACTTGTCATTGCTCTTGACACTCCTGGAGGATGCATGGACAGTGCGGAACCCGGTCCAGTGAGCCAAGAGATGGATGGTGAAGGTGAAGAATCTCTTGGATGTTCATGTAAGACCGATAGACTATTCCGCCCGATCCGTTCTTCCTCGTCCGCCAGCGAAAGGGAATGTGTGTTGGCGAAAAAGGGATCCGTCTCTTGGGCTCCGGGGTGAGGGATGAGAGACTCGGGTGATCTGACGTGTTGATCAGAGGAGAGGTGGATCTGAGGTGGGATGGCAGATTCGACTTCCGGAACCTCTTCGTCGGCTTGGGACAGGAGTTTCACGCCCCATGACCAACGTAGCTGACGAACTCAGCAAAGTCTATCTACGAGACTGGACGACTCACCATCATACCAAGAGTGGAGTAGAGAACGAGGTACGTCAACGCTCGACCTAACATTTGATCTTTCGAATCGTCTGCTCCCCATTTTAAATGAGGTACTTCAATCACTAATGACTGTTTATGGGTTAGACACGCTGCACTCGAATCCGGGATTGACTCACTTGTATCAGAGCGATAGGGAGTGAATTACTGAACACGATCAGCTGAGCTCCAGCGAGTCGACAACTGCTCACCTATTTTGGAACATGGATGCGCATATAGCAAATGCCCTACTCGTCAGTCAAGTCACCTGAAAGAGACTCACGTTTGAGACCGACTAAGACGAAACGCTCTGGATAAACCCCACGCCACTCCGGCAGATACGGCAGTCACGAGGACAAATCTACTTGGTCAGCACTACATCCCTGCGTCAAAGCAAAGAATCTCACCCTAATGGAATGATCCACATCTCCTTTAATTTGCCGGGGGTCAGAGAGAAAGCCACCTACGACCATTAGCTCACGATCGTACGCAAAAGATGGACGGTGGCTAACCTTGGCGAACAACAGGGCTGGGGTGAAAAGAGACACGTTTATGACATTCAACTTTCTTTGAGTGGCCTTATCTGTCACTCCAGCTCGAGAGAGGACATATCCTGCGAGACATAACAGGAAGACTTGTATGACTGACTGCTTGGTGAGCTAAAGGAATGGAAGTAGACGATGAGTACAGACATACCTCGAAGACGGTGACTAAAAGGGTCTTGACTGTTCATGAGCTCTCTCAAAAAAACGGGGGAGTCGTGACAGACTCACTGGGCACTTGAGCACCTGACATGTTAGAGAACTGACAGACGGTAGAAGTGTACGCTTGTACTTTTGAGTATACTTTTGGAAGAGATGAAATGAGATTAGTAAGATGCAATATGTTACAATTCCCAGCACTGCACGAGTTGCCAAGAGAGAGAGAGGGATGCAGGCGAGGCAGCTTGGCGATGACTCCGTAGTCAGTGTTACGTAATCATACAGGATTGAACGGAGAGGCTGAAACTGTTGAAATCTTCTGGGTCGAGTGAACAACTCCCCCTATACATAAGCATCCGTCTCGTCTTGATTGGCCGCAAGACACCCGGTATCCCCCTGATATGGTCTGGGTACCGGGTAGGTTCCAAGCCTGCGATCTGCGGATTGCGAGACTTGGAACCCATCAGACTCCCATGGACCGCGGATCTCTCTATGCTAACCCGCATCTCCGTCCATGACCGTCGAACAGCCTTGCGGTCATGACTCAATGTACGATGTTTGTCTTACTTTCAAGTCGCTCAACCGCTAATCATCACTGGCCCCTCGCTTCTCGGGTCAATATGGTGAGTCACCCATCTAATCTTATTGATTGTCGGGCGCCGGACTTGACGGCGGCGGATAAATTTCTCACCTCGGGTCCAGGCGGTATCAACTCATTGGCCATATTTTGAGTATGTAACACGAGAGAAAGATACAGGACGATCATCTACTATGCATTCTGTATTCCCAAATATCAAAAAACCACTTCTACCAATCTTCTCCCTCTTTTTATCACCACTTACCAGGTCCGGGGTATTTATCATCCTCCACAGGTTTAGGGGTTTGTCCGAAAGCCGTCTTGGGGTCGTATGGGTGAACTGAAGCGAAATGCTTTGCGATCTCATCCCTTCTGGCGATCCAAACACCATCGACAGACTTGATGTATTCGAGGAATCTGTTTATCAGCGAGAGCTCGTTCGTATCTTACACCTAGAATCGATACTCGGTCTTGTGACGGATGTGGAGGATAAGGTAAATTAACATACTGCTCGAGCCAATAAGCACGGGTACCACGACCGGTGATATGAGGGTGAAGAAGGATGGTCATCATTTTAGGTTCGCCATCGACACCTTCCTCGTATAGGATATCAAAGGTGTCTTTCTGATAAATTAGCATACGATCGACAAAGAATGTCACGAGTATAAAACGCACCAGGTACTTGAAATAAGCCTGAGGAGTGTTAGGACCGTTACCGAGGAGGTTGTATTTGGCGTCGCTAACATCGCTGAATCGTCAGCGATATCCAAGGTTGATTCAAGAGGATATTAGAGGGAACTGGGGAAACCGGTGATGACCCAAGAACATAGGAGAGAGAGAAATGTCGTGGTTGAATTGAAAAGACTCACTAGGAGAAAGGCAACATCAAAAGACCTTTGTCATGGACGGGAGATTTAGTCCAGAATGGAAGATCGTCACTGCACGAATCGGAAGAGTAAAGTAAAGGAAGACCTTTATCTTCCATAGCTTGAGCGTACAATCGGATAGTACGATTAGACCTGCGGTCGGTGAACCAACCTGAGATGTGAGCTTGGTCCCAAGTAGATCTATACCTTGAAGTCGAAGGCGGGACATGAAGAAGACGGTCTGAATAGATGGATTGAGATTTACAAAGAGAAATGTAACATACCAGCTGGGATGGTCTTGTCACCGGTGATCTCCTGAAGCTTGTCGAGAGATTCACGGATCATGGAATCTTCTTCCTCTGGGGAAACACCATCGAGAAGGTCGATCCAACGTTTTCCACCAAGAGTGATCTCTGCGCCAGAGTCCAAGATAGGTTTGACCCAGTAAGGAACTTTCTCCATAGCGAGGGTATCTATCTGTCAATTTCCGTAAAGATTAAGCGGGAAAAGGGAATAACTTACACATGTTCCAAGTCAAAGGTACACCTTGACTGAAAAAGGTCAACTATTGTACTTTTACTTTCAAAACTCGTTCAATCTTCACTCACCGTTTGAAAAGATCAAGCAACCTGGGAACACCGATCCTGGTACCGTATTCATATTGGTTCTCCAACAAATCATCCTTACCCTTCTTTCCTCTAGCTCGGATGGGCAATTCAGTGAGATAATACTCTGTCTCGGCGTCTCCCAATTCGATACTACGCTCAGATCCTACGTTGTATTGAGCGATAAAGTTGATGGCGATCTTTGCGCCTTTGGGCCATTTTGGGTCGATGTTCTTGTAACCGTAACCTACGAACTCACGTTCGAGAGTAAAGTCAGAAAGATCGCGACTCATTTTGAATGTTTAAAAGACGTGTCTGTGTAGGTGATGGAGAAAGACGTTATGAGTGCGATAAATGAAGTTGAAAGATGAATAGATGGTGTAGATGAGAACGAAGTAAGAGTAGAGTATTGAAACCGAAAGCTCTACATCCCGGTACGAAGACGAGATAAGGTGGTGGTTGGACGGAAAGCGTTGTGGTTGGTTCGGAACGTATAATATCTCGGAACATGTTCCCGGTGACCAAGTAGGAAACAGGTAATCCAATAGAATTAGGGTCCACGTTTCAATGTGTGAGCATTCACGCACGGAAACCGAGTCCGATAAGGAACTGAGATCACCGTCGGTCTTGTCATCTGTCTCGTTATCGGGTCACTTTGCCCGGAAGATAAGCTTCATCTCATCGGAATCACTGCCGGACCATCATGTCCCGAGGGGGGGGTTCTTTCCTACCTACAACCCCATTCGATGTAGCTCTATCGATATCTCAACCTATCGTCTTTCTCTCTCTCTCTCTCTCTCTCTCTCTCTCTCATCTACCATCTCATCATCTAACAAATCTTTTACAACCTACTCATCATCATGGCAGCGATTTACGATGGAAAACCCGTTGTTCTCTCCGGTGGAGACAAATATCTCTTTGACCCTCCTCGTGATTTCGTAGGATACGGTTTGGAACAACCTACCAACCCTTGGCCTAATGGTGCTAAAATCGCCGTCAGTTTCACTCACAACTGTAAGTCATCCGGGAATATGTAGACCCGGTGCTGATTGATCAAAGACGAAGAAGGTGGTGAATCTACACTCTGGAACGGAGATGACAGGTCTATCGCTTCTCTTCATGAACTTCTTCCTAATCGTGAAGCTCAAATCGGTAAAAGGGACTTTCTCGTCGAGAGCATGGTGAGTTTTGTTTGATTTTAAGTAAACGTTGTCAAGGTACATCAGATCAGAGCTGATGGGGAAAACAGTACGAGTACGGAGCTAGACAGGGTTTCCCTCGTTTGTTGAAACTTTTCGATAAATACGGTTTCAAATTCACCACTTGGGTGGTAGCTCGTGCTGCTGAAGTCACCGGACCTTACCCTAAACTCTGTGCTGATCTCGGTCATGAGGTGAGTTAGGAGATTTGTCAATCGACCTCCCCTTACCCCTTTCAGTAACCTCATTGGGAATCTTCCACGTGACTCGTCTCCCTTTCCCCTGAGTACAATATCACAACAATGATGCACCTTTTCATAGTGCTGGAATACGAGTACATATACCCTTTTCTTGGTGGTGGGGTGGTAGGGGAGGGCGAGGTTTGCAGGTACTCCAACAACACGCTAATCTCTAGATCGCATGTCACGGTAACCGTTGGTCCGTACCTGGTGAAAGTTTTGATGAAGCCAAATGGCACATTAACAGGTCTTTCGATAGACTTCAAAAAGCTACCGGTTTGACAGACGTTCCAACAGCTTGGTTCATGGCCAATTCCACTCTCGATACTAAATTAGCTCGTGCGGAAGTTCATAAAGAACGTGGTGTACCTCTTCTTTATCATTCTGACACTTACGCGACCGATACTCCTTATTGGATTCAAGATCCTCTTGTCGTTAAAGGTGAAGAAGATAAAGGAATGCTTTCAATCCCTTACAGTTTGTAAGTTTTTTTTCATTCATCTATCATTTCTTTTAATCTCATATCATATCATCTGTCATGCGTAATGATCCATCATGTTGATATAATTTTAGGTGTAACAACGACGCTTGTTGGTTCTCACCTATCGGACATTCTTGGTATAACGCCGATGATTGTTTCGATCAACTTAAAACCGACTTTGATTACCTTTACGCAGAAGGTCAACGTGGTACTCCCAGGATGATGTGAGTCAAAAACAAAAAAAAAACTTCTTCGTCGACGTAAGAGACACCAGCTGATTAAGTTAGGACCATCGCTATGCACAGTCGTGTTTACGGTAAACCAGGAAAGACTATGGCTCTCAAGAAATTCATGGAGTACATTTCTTCTAAACCTGACGTTTGGGTGGCTACCCGTCGTGAGATCGCAGAGGCTTGGCGCAAGAACCACCCTTACGAGAAAGAAGGTCCTACCGCCAACTTGCACGCCGACGTTAAGAAATATTAGAGAATAGTCATAAAAGAGTCAAGGATAGCTTGGGTTTAGGTTGATGCACTTTGTCAGATGCAAACTATCGTTAGAAGCTCTCTGGGTTGTAGGCGCATGGCGCCCGATTGCAGGTAGCCGGATCGCGTTTCACCAGAGTTCACTTACTTCACTCTACTGCTGACTCTCGTCAACTATCGTACCCCCTCCTTTTCGAATGAGCGGCATATGACACATGCGTGGAGACCACAGGTTTTACATTTTAAACGACCCAGATACACCTCTCATATACAATCCCCGTCCCACTGGACCCTGCCCTTTTCCCTCCGCATCCTGTCACACCCCTGTTCAGAAACCCCATAACCCACGACTCCGAGGTCTTCCCTCCTCATTTGCCATCGGTTCCAGCCCGAAGCCCTGCGCTTCGAGCAACTCATGATCCCCATCGTCATTCTGCGACACAGGGGCATGTCCTTCACCTCGGCCTCGCCGACCGTAATGTCCCAAGAACCCTCTATGTATATCTCTCGCCCCATCCCATGCTTCTCGGAATGCCGCCGTGTAATATGACAATGACCTCGGCCCAGGTAAGTCTTGACTCCTCTCCATCGCCTCATTCTCAATTCTGGTACTGATCGGCTCGTCCTCGTCTCGGTTCGCCGCCGCCTGAGCCGCTTCCGATTCCCTCTGCGCCTGTCGCAAACCTCTCTCAAATCGTTTCACTCTCCACCATCCTCCCAAGCTCGTGAGGACCAAGAACCATCCGATACTCATGAGCATGAAACTGAACCATTCGTTGGCACGTCCGACGTCGGTTGCGCTCGGAAGTCCCAGCATATCGGTCAAACTCCGATTGTGAGCTTGAGCCCAGAGTTCCGCTTCGTGTGCGTCATGCAGGATGATTGGCGGGGCGTCGGGTGGGCCGTCAGGATCACGCAATGTGGCCGGCCAAGGACTACCTGGACCCCAGAAGGCGTTGATGGCCTGTTCCGCAGCGATCTCGTCTTCGCTGGCTCCCGATGGAGGGGCGGGATCAGAGGGGTCGTATGGAAATTTGCCAGAGTTTATAAGGTCCATAGCTTTAGTTCGAAGATTGAGACCAAATTGTATCAATGTGATACCCAGTCCAACACGAGAACCGTACTTGGCGGCGTGTGTGGTATGCAGAACGTATGTGAGGAGGAAACCGACGAATTGAAAGGAGACAGAGACTATGAGGTTCCAGAAAAAGCCAAAGAGATTACCCGAGGGCATACCATCGATAAGAATATCATCTCCCGACATGGAGCTGGTCAAGGGGCCGAAAGGTGAATTGTTCGATGGAAGGACGACCGTTGTATCCCAGTAAGGAGGAACAGCATCCCTGAGAGCGGCCTGATATGACTGGATTGTCAGTTGACTGTCAACACGCATTAATCCGTGACTCACAGGAGGCCCATCCTTCTGTTCATTCTCTGGCACCCACTCGGGACCCTCACGAACAGCAGCGTTGTCGAGATTTGGTCTGGCTGAAAGGTTGCTGAACACACCGCTCTGACCACCACCCAAGACTCTTGAACCAGGAGTAGGAGAAGCCTGACGAGGGAGAATGGATGTGGGTAGGATACCTCCAAGGAAATGACGGTGGTGTTGTGGATTCGGTCGGACTATGGGGCCAGTGGAGACGATACCGTTGGTGTTTCCTGGAGCGGGATTCTGCGCAGAATACTCTTCGAAAGGAGGAGGGGATGGAGGCGGTAGAGTCTGGCTTCGTCAGTGGAGGGAACTACCAGACGATGAGATTCGAAACTTACATAATCACGCTCAAAATCATAATCGCCCGGCATGGGTCCGTTCTGCGGCAAGAGGGTATGCGATTCTTGACCTTCTTCATCATCCGGTCCGTCAAAGGCGGCGTCCATTTCTGCCGGGTTGGGCATCTGGGGGGCCGTTCGTCGAGAAAGAAAGGGAAAGGCCGAGATCGAAGGTTGTCGGAGGGAGTGTAGAGATGAGCGCCGAGAGTGAGAGGGTGAGGAGAGGGAAGAAGAGATGGGATGATATAGTCCGGATGACATGGCGGGAGATGAAGTGATGAAGGGGTCAATCTGGCGAGTCAGCGTGAAAGCACAAAGGATGGAGAGCTTGGCTAGTATGAGTCATAAAACGTTGTGATTATAGTCATGCTCAAGCTTCAGAGATGGTAAGAGCTGCTATGTAAGTCGTGGGATTGTGGGAGGGATATGACAATAAAGTGGCCGTGTGGATTGCTAAGGCGATTGACTACGCACCTGTTGAATGATGGTTTCTCGATCTTGCTGTCGCTCCGGCCAAGTCGTAATGTCTGCACACACAGATGCTTTCAGATTTTAAACGAGGATCTTAGTATGAGGAGATGCTATAGGGCTATGTTTGTGGACGACACTGAGATAGAAAGTAGGCACAGAGATGTTAGCAAGCAGAGAGAGAAGGGGGGGGGAGAGAGAAGGCCGGGGGGGGGAGAAGAGCACACGAATCGCCGAGCAGTGAAAGGGGATTGCTTACGTAAGGCTTTGCCACCGACGGTCCCCTGACAAGCTTTTCTACGAGTACTGTAACTTACTTATGGTGCAACGACGATGCATTGGAGGATGGATGATGAGTACAGGGTATATAGTGTGCCCATACCGTGCATCTTCATATAGTTAGCCGCTCTACCTCCGTGGGTGGTCATCTGTATACATGAATGACGTTTTGGGCAGAACTAGTCGTCTAGTCACCTGACACGAGACAGGAAACCCACATTTGCTGTCTCTTGCTCCCTCCTCCCTTTACAGTCTTTTCACCGACAACCTTTTGCTCCTCTCGAAATGGGTCACAACAGCGATAAACTGTACATCACTCATTCAGAGCATGCTGCAGGTCATCACGCAGCGTCCAGTACTGGAAAGCGCCAAGAGAGCGGTCGGAGTGAGATTCAGCGATTACCATTGTGAGTCCAACTTGTACTGCCCTCTCGTAGGTAGAGACAGCTGACGTTTCAGCGATTCCTGCGCTCTTTCTCTACAACCTTTCAAGAACCCTGTAGCTGTTATTGCCGATAATGAAGATGGGCAGCCACCTAGAGCGGATGTGTTCGACTTGTTGAATATCGTCCCTTACATTCGAAAGTACAAGACGAGTGAGTGACAGAAATTCCATCACTGCTCCGAGGCTCTGTCATCATGTGTTTGAAAGATATTAGAGGGACATCTTGTGGTCACTGGTATATCGACAGGACGCTGCTGACGTTGTCAGATCCTGTCACAGGCAAGCCGCTAGACACGAGTCAACTGATCAAGCTCAACTTCGCCAAGGTGAGTCGTCGAGCTATGGACCCTCACAAATGAAGTTCATCTGGAGCTCTCGCTTGGGTCTACCTACGAGAAAACGCTGACTGGTAGAATGCCGAAGGGAATATGCACGATCCCATCACCTACAAAGTATTCTCACCTCACGTTCACATCGTCTTTCTCAAGAACACCGTAAGTTCCCGTCAACTTCATCTCATCACCAGGCATCCATCAACCCTATCACATGTTTATCAGATCAGAATAGTTTATGCTGAAGCCTAATTAGGGTAACGTTTTCGACATGGCCTCATTACAGCTCCTGGCGATCAAACCCAAAACATGGCGAGATTTGGTAAATGACGAGCCATTCGAGCGGAAGGACATCATCACCATTCAAGTGAGCTCCTTTGCCTTATCCTCTTCCCCGCACCTCTATCCAGTATACTACCCGTGGTATTAATGACAGCGCTGAGCTTCTCAGGACCCTCAGAATCTCGCCAATCGAATCTCGCCAATCGAGATCTGAGGGAGTACGATCATGTCAAATCAGACAAGAAAGTCGCAGGTGGGTCATTTGTCGCTTTACCACATATAGTGCTGATTTGCAGAGGAGGAACTCGCCTCGGACCCATTGAAAGGCATCAACGTCGAAGCTGCCGGAGGGGCCGGCAAAGTGTTGAAAATGATAGCTGAGAAGGTTAGTCATCATATCTCTAGCCTGGTCATCCTCCCCTTTGACATTCAGCTGATCAACAGACACGAGCAGAGCAAGCTTCGATGGCCCCTCCGCCTGCTCCCGCGGAATCGAGTACTGCAATCAAGGAGAAGAAGGAAGGGATCATTGCAAAGCGAAAGATTGAACAGCTAGCGTGTGAGTGAAGCGCCCTCCCCCCGGTCCAGTACTTGTATCTCCATCAAGTTGAGAGGTGTTGCTCATGGCGCAGACAACACATCAAACTTTACCACCGGTAGAGCCTCGGCGTCCTTGACAAGTACGACAATGACACCTGAGACTACCAATGCCAGAGCCTTGTTCGATGAGGAAGAATGTAAGTTGCGAGCTACCTCTGTGATCCCCACGCCCCATCATATCGGCTTGAAATAAATCGTGTCGAGATATCCGCGAACATTCCTGCTTTTTAGTGCGAGCAGACTCGATAATCTGGTATTGACCCCCAGTCATGTTTGAAGAAATGAGACGTCCTGTCAAAGAGAAAGAACGTCTCAAATCGAAAGCTTATGCAACGATCATGACTAATTTTGGGGGGTTGAACGTCGAGTTACATGGAGACAGAGCGCCAAAAACGGTGTATAATTTTGTGCAGTTAGCAAAACAAGGGTATTATGATGGAGTTGCCTTTCATCGACTGATGCCGGGGTTTATGGTATGTGAATAACCACGATGCCCACTTCCCTTATCTTTTCACCTGCGGAGTCTGTCTTTGGTACTTTTTGGTACCTTGACCAAAGCTCTTGATTCCGGTTTAGCCGTTATGTCAGGCAGATTAGGACCCTGTGGTGATGCGGAATATGTTGAGGAGGTCACTCACACCCAGGTCCAAGGTGGTGATCCGACCGGTACTGGCCGAGGTGGAAAGTCATTCTGGGGTGAACCATTCAGGGATGAATATAGTGAGAAGGGAGCGTATAAACATGATTCCCGGGGTGTGCTAGTGAGTGATCTGGTACCTCTTCACCCTCGCCTCTCATCCAACTTCCGAAAGATAAGTATACCATGCCAGAGAGAAACGTGATCGTCGGGCCGAGAAGTTGATCCAGGCACTCAGGTGAGACGTCCAAGACAGGAGAAGGCAAGAAACAATCACGAATGGGTGGCAGATGGCGAAGTCGCAACACTGACCCTTAGTCAATGGCCAACAGCGGTCCACGATCAAATACATCACAATTCTTCATCACATTTCGTCCTACCGAACATCTCAATGGGAAACATACAGTATTTGGGAAATTGGTCGGTGGGGAGGATGTGTTGGATAAGATTGAACGTGTACCTGTTAGACCTGGTGGTGATCGACCTGCGAAGGAGATCAAGATATTGGGGATCAATGTGTGAGTCTCTGTGGTCTTTTCCATGACGCTCCTTTCACCTCTCTGACTTGATGTCCTACCGTCTGTTTACATTTCGTTACTCTTCCAACCTGTCGTCGCCGATCTTGATACTCCATTTCCCCGCGACCTTTAATTTAGTACAGTTGCTACGATCTCCCCAATCTCCTTCGCACAGATTTTAATTTCTGCATCCGAAAGTCACGCACTGCAGATGTCCTCTTACAACACTCTTTCCCCCTTAGAATCCAACAAATTATAGCTCATTCCATTGTCCCTCCCAGCAACATCCTTCTGACAACGAGGGCATCCCGGTTTCGTGCTTATCGCGACATACTTGATCTGACTTTAACAGCCTTCAAGACCCATTCGAAGCCTACCAAAAACGTCTAGCTCAACGTTTAGCTCGACAAGACGAATCCGATGAGACTCTCCGACGACGGGCTGCCGCTCAAGCTGAAAGGGAAAAAGATAGGACAACATGGTTAGGTACAGACTTGGGTATCAAAGGTGTTCCTCGATCAACGACGAAAGATAATGTCGAGGTAGGGGTAGGGAAATATTTATCGACGCATGTTTCTTCTGTAGGGTCAACTCTCAATTCTACGGCTCCCCCCTTGAGTCAGAAAGTCGATAAAGATAGAACAGAGAGAAAGGTTAAAGACGAGCAGGATGGAGTAGGAAAAAAGGACAAGCCAGGGATGATGATGGTACAAAGTCAGGGTAAGGTGGTAGGAGGGGAAATGGAATATGGTGAAAAGAAGAAAAGGAAACTAGCAGGTGGTTTTGGTGATTTTTCAGCATGGTAATTTCTACATGAATCACATTATACACATGCACACAGTACTCCATTCTCGCTACTATTTCTGTTTTTTGTTCATTTGTGGAAGGGCGTACTCCATAGATTTCAAGTCTTCTTCGTAAGAATATCGATCTGATCCATGATTCAAGTTGAAGAGGAATGATCATCAAACAATATTACTTGATTTAAGTAAGTGTACTTGTATCAACTCTTCTCATGCGATTTATTTTCTTGTAAGAATTGGTCAACTGACTGTGAAGTACCTTGTTTCGAGTTGATTATGTCTTACTTGACCTGATATACACCACGGCACAGTGGATAGAACTCAACAAGTTTCAATGTCACAAACGAAACGTACTGCGGTATGATCACGAGTACTCTACTCGTACAGTCAAAACATGAAGCGATATGATGGAATCATTTTCGATGCATGATCAACATGTCTTTTTTCTTATCAAGATTGTGATACATATGTTACCGTCATGTAATCATAAAAATCATAAACATTTTGTTCCTCTTCCGAATGTCTTACCATCGTTCTGATGAATAACTTCTGCATCCCTGCATCCCCAAAACCAAGATCATACACATCCCACTCAAGATCATTTCCCTCCACAAAGTCCAAAACCATACTCTACACAACCCAAACATTATCCACACCAAGACTTCAACCGTACAACTGCCAATCCCATTTCACGACTTCCCCCCAAAATCCCTCTGGGACATCTATCGCCTTATCACCTCCTGATAAATCTGATCCTAATGGATATACTCGATCAACGGTGGAAGTACTGGTAAATGGTTCCCATTTCTCTGAACGGGGGAGGATGTATGAAGAGATGTAACACCATGGCCACCACCATTGACTCGATTTACGTCTTTTATGTGAAGATGAGGAAGAGGAAGGGTTAGGGTCGAGGTTGTAGATGAATGATATCCAATATGATAGGATTTCAGATTCCTATTTGGTCAGCTCAAGGACAAAGTAGGCGAGAGTTCCCAATATAGACCGACCGACGGTATGGTGGCGTTGATAGTACCAGGACTTCCAACATGCTGACCGTCCACATGAAGAATCTGGAGCTGTGGTGCACATGAAGTAGCGCATAGCGAATGAGAAGATAATTGGGGAACGGTGGTGGAAGTGTCGTGAGGGTATGTCACAAAGATGAGGAGAAAATCTTGCTGGGTCAGACGGGACAAATAGAAGTATACCCCCACACAGTCACGAAGTATGAAAAGTCAAGGTGGAGAAACTCACGATAGCATCCGCCCCAGTCGGACCAGTCTGAAAAACAGCCTCAATGTCATCCTCATGACAAACCACTCCCTCATTCTGACAATATCCAACTGCATTATCAGGATAACTACTGCCCTTTTCAAACTCCCCCACCCAAACTTTCCCCCCATTGGCGGCCCATTCCCTAGCCACCGCTCGAGAGGGAGAACGGAACACCCAATCAGTGACGAACAATTCGAACAATTCTCTAAAATCGTCTCCGTCACCTCCTTCGTATGATAAATCATAAAATCCACTGTTGAAGATTTTTTGCGCACGGTCCGGGCCTAAGAACTCTACTAGGAGATTGTAGTATGTCTCATTTGACACTTGGACGGGTGAAGGGTAGTAGGACTGAACGGTTGAGCCTGCTTCGTTCCGGACTGTGGTTATGAGAAGTGGGAGACTTTCAGGTGGATGGGCTAGTAAGGCTGGCGAGGTGAAAAGTTCAGAGGTGGGGTCGGCCAAGATGGTAGGGGTGTTGTATGTTGGTCGGATGGCTTAGAGTCAGCTTGTCCCGAGACGTTGTAGCTGGGCTTTGATTCGGGGTATCTTTTACATGCCATCGGACCGAATTTTTGTGTGGTTTGGAAGAATACTCTGTTCACTCCCTTTTGTGATCGTCGTTGTGATGGATTTTAGTTGACGAAACAAGATACTCACGCTCGGATGGTGGCACTCCCGGATTCGACAACGCAGCCTCTGAAGTCCCCACGACGACCGACTCCGTCACCAACTGATTGGCAGGGATAGCTTTCAAGCAGTCGAGGGTCGAACATGCATTAGCTGGAGCGGTTGAGTAAAAGAGCTCGGTGAGATTTGCCGTGATTTCCGGGGGTGAGAACCCATAGTCCTACTTGATCAGTCTCATTTATGAGATAAGCAAGAGGCACTCACCATGGGGTCCGATTGAAGTATGGCAGCTCTGAACAAACCGACGGCAGCAGGAGCGTTCCACAGCGCTGTACATGAATTCAAGTCACGAATGTAGAGTGAAAAGAAAATAAGGTGGACAACTTACCTCGAACGATTTGAGCACCACTACTTTGTCCTCCGACGGTCACTTTATCCTTGTCGCCGCCTACAAACGCTATATACTCCCTGATATTGGTGAGAGCAAGAATGATATCCTGAAGTCCAAGATTAGGATCTGATGAGGTGGGTGCTTGTGCGGGTGGGAGGAAGCCAAGAACGCCGAGTCTGGGCGTCAGCTTCTATGGTACTTCTCGCTAGATCGTTGACTCAGAACCTAGACCCGACCCCATTGCTTAGGAGGACGACAGAGAGGAGAACATAGAGGAGGACGGAGAGGGTGAGGGTGAGGATGAGGGGAGATGGTGCGGCAGGAATCAAAATGTTCTCACTCACCGATACTGCAAAACCACCACGATGATATTCCCCTTAGCCGCCAAAGTCGAACCATCAAGTCCAGGAGCAGCAACCGAACCTTCGTAATACGACCCGCCATGAATCCTGTCCATCAACTATATCCTACCGATGGCCAAATCCGACCAGTGCTGCCGCCACATATGGTCCTTCAGGGTTGTCCGAGATACAAGATCTGCAGGGGAGTGATCTTCCCGATCGTGAACTCTCATCGTAGATGTATATAAATTAGGAGGCTGTGTGATACGCCCACTTCAAGCTCCTATCCCTTCGAAACAGATCACAAGTGGATGATGTCAAGTATATTGATTCCCAGTGGGGCATACGACAAGAGAATAGACATGTGCGATGTGTGAGGATGGAGAGGTAGAAAGGGTACTGACCAGACATAAACTGGTAATAAATCATTTGATACAGCCGTGGGAACGTATATAGCTGCCCAGAGACAATCTTCCGATTGGCTCACACCGGGGGTATAGATATCACTGTCTTGTGGACAAGCAGGTGGGAGGGATGTGGATGTGAGGCCGCTAGGGATTAACAACTTCGTCATCACGACCTTGGTATCACAGCCCTTGTGATCTTATCCTATCAGGGAGGGGAGGAAAGATGAACAGTTCAGGGATCCAAGGAAGGTGAGTGAGATATCATGGTTAGAATGTAGACGCTTGTGGTAACGAGGAGGCAACGCGAGACGAGACACTCACCTGAGGGAAGTGGGAGCTTTGGAAACACCCCATCTTTCCGCTTCACCATATTTAACAACATATCTACATGCTCCTTCCTCTGTTGAAACACCTTGTACTTGATAACCGGGGAAAATCAAAGTACATTGTGCTGGTGTAGGAGCTGCCTTCACGGGATTTATGTTGGCCAAACTGATCAATGAGAGTAGTCCTAGAAATTGTACTCTCCGGGGGAACATGATCATGTGATTGATGGTAGTTGTCGAATACGATGGTGAGGTGGTCTTTCGAAGTATAGTTGAGGAGAAGAAGATGTTTTCAGAAAGTCAGATGATTGAGTGGGTAGTTTGATGTGGTGTCAGATATCAACGTGGGGGATTGTCCAGATAGGGTTATGTATAAGGTGGAAGGAAAGAGATATATAAGATATATATCTGACGCCTGTAGGTGTAATTGGCAGGAGGGTCAAGACGGGACGAGGGGTTGAAGTGTAAAAGGGATGACAAAGACGGAATGAGAAGATCAATTTGGATTTTCACTTTTTACATCTCGCCACTGTGCCGTACCGTGTACCGTATATCGTACACCTTGTACCATCTTTCCTTGACACTCCCGCTAGTCCGTCTTGCCGTGTACCGTGTACCGAGTATACGTATGTACACCGCGGTTAGCAGTGTCATCATCAAGGGGGAAGGGGAGGAAGCTAGTGTGTCATCTACAACAAAGACCGATCAACCTTTTTTCTTTTCTTGTTTTTCATTTCGAGGCCTCTGATCTGATCTGCATCTGCATCTTACACTTCAGGGGCAAGGTTCGGAGATACATGTATGTTCCTTGACGAGGTGGGGGGAGGTAGGAGGGAAGAAGAGGAGGGCGAAGGGAGAAAAAAAAAGAAAAAAAAAAAGATGAAACGTAGAGGACGAAACGACGGGATCTGGGATCGACGGTTGACGGGACAATAATCCCGGTCATTTCGGTTAATTCAGGCACCACACAAAGGTACCCGCTTTGACCGGCGTGTCCTCGTGACAAGCAAGCATGCTCCCAACCTCTTGGCTCTTTGCAAGGGTACAGTACATGCCCTAGTGAAGCATACTGAGCAACACCGGATAGGATGGGCAGGGCAGCTGCAGATTCGGTACATCATACACCGTACACACAAGCATTAGATGCATAACGTCTCATCATCGCTAACCTCATCAGTCATACCAAACCTCCTAAGCACGAACAAATTAACGAAAGAGAAAATACGATGATTTAGAGCTAAATTAAACGTGACACTGAATCCGAATTAAGCATTTACTTCCCCTTCCCCATCACCCTCCCCGTTCTGGCTCTTTCCAAACCCTTTCACCTTCTCCATACCCTCCACCAACCTCTCTACTTTAGCTTTGTGTTGCTCACTTTCATTCCTAGCCCTTCTTTCCAACTCTTCTTCATCAGAACTATCCACACTGAGACTACTCCCACTGACACTACCTTGTCCATAAACCATCCGGTCACCTTCTTTCCCTTTTGTAGCTCTTTGAGCATCTTTGATCTTTGTCAATTTCTCATCGGTACATGACATCACGTGAATATGTAACCCAGGGAAATTCGATTGAAGGAACTTTTGGAAGATCGGTATGAGAGAAGCTAAAGGTCGGTATGTGCCAGAATCGTTATCGATGATCAACTCGTATGATTCGGGATCTTGAGGTGGGGGAGCCGAAGGTGGTCCGTTCGGTAACGGTTCGGCTGGGTGAGTGTGCTGATCTGGAGCGGTGGAAGAGGAGTGGGGATTTGATAATCGTCGGATAAGGAATTCACCACTCCAAGCTATGTAGATCTGGGAGTTAGATCTGAAATGAAACCGTTTCAGAAATTGAGACGAGACGAGATGAAACGTCACATGGAGTGAGACAGTGATAGGTTGAGTCGGGTTGAGATATGTAAGGGGTAAACTCACATCAACGTCAGAATGCATGGTATGTTTGCTCAACAAATCAATACCAAATTCTTTTCCCGTTTCCGTAAACCTAAACATTCCATCGAGAGTGACAACATAGGTAAAGATCCTACCGCCTTGGTCATAATGTGCCATGTCGAGGAATCTGACATCAGCGGAGGTTTGAGGGTTAATCAATATTTCCTATCCACACGATGATTTCACATTTCACAGCATCATTGTCGAAGAGGTAACAACAAGATAGAAACAAGTTACTCAACTGAAACACTGATGGCATCCAACTAGACTGGAAACCAGCGGGGGGAACAGCAACGAAAATGGTGGTAACTGAGACTACCAGCAGGAAAAGATGCTACACAGGACGGAGGGAGTGGGCAGGATGGGCAGGATGAAGGGGATAGCATGGAAGACCAAGATAGAGAAGCTACGAGTCTTTGAAAAACACCAACACTCACTTCAAAGTCATCTCCCTACCAGGCCCTTGATCATCTTCAAAAACACCCGTCCTAGTCCTAGAATTATAATTATATATCTTTGCATGTTGATGATGCAAAGCCCTGTTCAAAACTTTCCCTCTAACACCGGTAGATTCGAACATGCCCATTACGAAAGATTTGAATTCTACGTATCTGTGGTAGAGCTCGTTTGGGACCGGACCACGTAGTTGGATTTCGTTTGCTTGGAAGCTGGGGTTAGATTATTTTCTCCTGCGTTATGGATCTCCAACATTACAAGAAAAAGCGAATCATAAGGTTGACTGGTCGATAGAAGACGTTGTAAACCCCAATACGTTGAAATATGATAGGGACTGGCCGTTCTTTAGAGAAAGGTAGACAGGAAAGAGGCACAATTTACTCACTCAAATCTCTCCACACCATGTTCATCCTTCCCTTTCGTCCCTGTCAATCTCCCGATGATGGGAGAATAATGAGTTCTCCAAAAACATCCAACAGTATAAACCTTTCCCACATTCCCATCTTCTTTCGTCTTTCCCAATACTTCAACACTTAAAACTAACCTAGCATGTAATTCTTTCGTCCTATCTAAAAGTCTTGCACAACTTCTTAAAGTATAAGCCCTAACGTCCGCTCCTGTTTTATGTACTTTATATTCTTTTTCTTTTATACCTTTCCAATCCTCATCAATTTCTCCCGTTTCAATTTCCAACTTACCTAGACGATCATCATAATCATTCGCATCTTCATCGTATAATCTTACTTTGAGAGTCATACCACTTGAAGGAACACCGGATATCAACCATTGAGCATCAAATGTGGGATTAACATTACGATGTATTGTAGGTGAACGAAAACGTAATTTCGGATCACGAGGATGACGTGTAGGGAGGGAAGTATTGATTTGTGCTAAAATGTATGGATCACATGAACGGGAAGCGAAATCTGCTATGGGTAGGTTGGAAGCTCGATGAAAGGTTATACGAAGGTTATAGGATGGTCCTGTTGAAGGTGGAAGTGGTGTTGGGTCGTGTCCACCTTTAGGTTGGTCCGAGCCCATGTTGGGAATTGGCGAGTTGAGTGTTGTGCTTTTTGGGCTCTGGACTCTGGACTCTTGACTGGTTGGTTACTCCAGAATTGAGTAAGTGGTGAGAGGGACGGGGACAGGTATAGTCACGATCACCGGATAGGATGTGGACAGTTGGTAACTATTGAAGTAATGCCGCTAGATGACCTAGGTTGAGAATGAAGGGGGGAAAGGGAGGAAGAAAGTGTCGAGGGAGAAGTGCAGAAGATGAACGAAGTGAATATAGTAAATACGTGTAGAGAGAGAGAGAGAGAGAGATGCCCCAAGCGTCTTCGTCTTCGGCTTATCGGTTATTGGCAAACCGGTCAACTAACAGCTGGCCAATGGGATGTTGACGGTGGCGACGGGGTATCTATGGCTGACGCACAGCACTACCGGGCATAGGGCTATGAAGTCGATCTGTCTATGAGGAGGTGTGGGTGATTGATGACCATGTGATGAGAACAAGCATACAAACGTGACAAAGTAGCAAGATGTACAGTAGCTATTCTCAGCTGCTACCAAGAACGTAAAAAGGAAAACTGACGTCATTTTCCAATCTTCCTTCCCTCGTGCTCCCAAAGTATCAAAGTACTCACTCTCTCTCTCTCTTCTTTCGGTCAAACACTTTCATGTCACGCATCTAATCCATCTAATCATCTTCAGTCACGCTTTTTCTCCACAACAGATATAAATCTCCAACCGTCTTCTCTATCCCTGCAACCAATCGATCCAAGAGCCAAGAAACAAGAAACAAAAAACAAGAGTCAAGAGCCAAACCGACCATCAATACATCCGCAATCCGACCGAAGCAGATTGAAAATACCAAATCGGTCAAGATGTCTTCAACTTTACTACATACGGCACTTCAAAACCTACATGTATCTCAAAGAAAAGAATCTCTCTTACGTCCTTCTTCCGAACCGGGTATGCGTAGACCACCCGTGGTGATAGTGGAAGATGATGAGTTGGTCCATGTTGGAGGTATGACCCGACCTGGGACACCAAGAGGTGAGAGGGTGGAGAAGACGAGGGTGAAAGATCCTGTGAGTGATCGTTCCCTTTCTCTGTACTCTACCCGACCCAACCCAATGGACCAAATCATCCCCCCTCCCCCTTCCTCTCTCCCTATCGTGCATGGTAGAGTTTGACTGGAGGGGATGGTGAGGAAGTCTTACAACGGGTGGTAAGACTTACTGGCGTGGGAACGTGCATGGGTCAGAACGTGGAGATTGAAGTGTGGATTGGTATAGAGCCTCGAGGTGATGGTATGGGGGAAGTGGTGAACTGGGAGATAGATGAACTCTACAGCTCGCTGATACCAGCTTCGAACTTTACCTACTCATTTAGCTGTCAGGGTTTTCCTTCAATTAGACATCAAAAGTCTAGCAAGATGTGATAGGGTATGTAAACGATGGCATAAATCTTCAACTTTGAATTATGGTGAGTGGTCATCGTATTCCCTTGGTGCAATACCTCCTTGATCTCCGTGAGACTACCTGTGACATCTCTTCATTTCCTCCATACATCTCCATAAAGTCAACCAAATGATACCATAATGTTGCCTAAATAAGAGAAGGAAAAAAAGGAAAACAAAGGGCATCAAGTCACCCTTTTGAGACAAAGTATGAGGTTCACCAGCATCACGAAACATCCAACGCTTACACTCAGTTTGGTTCCTTCAAAACCGAGCTTTAATCTTACCTACGACTCTTTCAATTCCAACACGTTTACGTCAACTACCCTCTACTTTCCCACTTCCTATTCTATCTTCCACCTCTTCTATCCCATCCTCACCTCCAACTCCATCATCCAACCCACCTGAATTATTCTTCGATCCATACGATAAACTACCTCGTCTATCAAGACTACCTTTACCACCCATACCAACTTCTCAAACTCCACAATGGTCAAAAACAGAATCTAAAAAATCATGGAAAACACAATTCCGTATGACTTTTCAACGTCCTGATAATGATGATTCCTTAAAGGTTGATTTTTCTTTCAGTAGGAATTCTTCTGGGGCTTCTTCTCCTGGATATCATGGGCATGGGTATTCAGGATTAGGTTCTGGGAATAAAGAAAGATGGGTTGAAGAAAATGAAGAAATGAGTAATACCGCAAGGAAAGTTTTAGCAAGGGAGAGATATAAAGAAATGAGAGGTAGGAAAAGTAAAGAAAAGAGAAAAATGGGTGGGGAATTAGGTATTAGGGATAAAGGTGGTTTAGGTGATGTTTCGAGATTTGAAGCTCCTTGGTGAGACCCCCTCTCCCGTCTCGTTGAAGATTCCCCGTCGATCCGTCGAAAGGGTGAAGTGCGAGATGGAAAGGGAAAGGGAAGAATTGTTCGTGGTTCATTGCTGGTCTAGGACATTTGTATCGATTTCTCACTTTGTCACGGGAATTTTCCAGGATTTGTAGGTAAGTAGATTTGCATATAAATGTTTTCTTAATAAACATGGAAAAACGAATTGTACTTATTATGCACTTGTTATATCTCATTGATTTTAAACTCTGATAAATACCTCCTCTCGCTTTCCACTAGTCACATGCTTCAGGAGTGCAGCTTAACAATGGGTCGATAAAAGACGATAGACCTCAATGTGTATTGGGAAATTGTCCAAATTCATATTCTAATAAGCATGACTATTTCCATCGTCCAACCCAGCGTCCAGCGTCCAGCGCTGATGAAAGAAACATCTACCAACGCCATATACCTATAAAGTACGTCAAGTAAAAAACAAAAGCCACACAAAGATATCACCACTAAGATGACGATTGTTAAAGTAGTAGTATCAAAGAAGAAAGGAAAAAAAACCTATAACATCTCTAAATCTCCTTGTGATATCTTCTTTTTCAAAATTGCGAAATTCAATTTTTTCTTAGGTTGTTCTTTTACCCAACCAATTTCTTTCAACATTTCTTCTAATCTTTCTTTACCTATCAACTCCATCTCTCCCGTCTTTCCCTTTGATCCTAATTTCTCATCAAACCCAATTTTCTCAACTGTCTCAACTCTGTTTTTATCATTTTTGGGTATTTGATTCCCATTATCGTTAGAAGAAATTTGGAACATCTCCTCAGACAAGTAAACAGGTTTATTCCCAATAACAACGACTAAATCATCTTTCAAACTTTTTTCTAAACCTAATCTAACCAAAATAGATCTTAATAAAGGTAAATCTCCTCTATCGTGACATGATAAAAGAGTTGGTCGACGTGAACCTTTATGATATTTCGATAAAAGGTTCATTATCTCTTTTGGTGGTTGTTTCTTCATGTCGGATGATTTCAAAGATGTAGATGAAGATCTTGAAGAAGAGGAAGAGGAAAGACCATACCATATCACTACATCGTTGGCTCGTTCAGATTCTAGATTGATAAGTTCTGTAGAGAGTGATAGACCTAGATTTGAGTTTGCCACATCAGATTGTTCAAACTGATTTAACAAATCTGAAGAATCGGACGAAATGATCGAGTGGGCAATGTTGGAAGACGTAGGCGAGTTGGAAGAATCGAGAGAATCGGAAGACTCGGTAGGATGGGAGGAATAGGAAGAATGTGAGTGAGGTGTGGAAGAGACTAAAGGTTTGTTAAGACCTAATAAAACATTTGCGTCTAAAGGTTCAGAAGGGTCGATGGTATGTGGTAAAGACGCGTAAGATGATTGAAGTAGATAAGATTGAAGTGCTAGGAATTCGTGGGTTTCAGGAAGGGGTTGAGGTTGGTGAAATGTACGTTTTGTGGGTACTTCTTGTCAGTATAGTTCGAACCTTTCCTCACCGCACTTTTATCCTCACTCATCATGTCCCCGTCCACATGACCTAATACAGCTTACGACCTGATCTTTTGACTTGCATGGTGAGATTCCATCTACAGTGACTTGAGCCCTCAAGCTTGTTTCACACGTTCAGATACGTTTATACTCGGGTTCGCTACTTTGACATTGGATCACATTGATTCAAGAAAGAAATGGAAATGAAGATGAAAGGAGATGATTTCGATGGAAGACATGAGGTTACGATTCCAAGAAAAGAGGAGATATAAACTCACCAACCCCTGTCGAACGTCTCATCATATACCTAACTTTAACTTGCGGTGGTACATACTCTTCCTCCCATTTCACACCACCTCTAGCAACATCCAAATAAGCTCTTCCATCATTATCCAATTTCAACCTTCTAGTAACGCTTGCGACTTTCAAACTTGGTAATCTAGCACCAGGAACAAGAACCAACATTAAAACACAAGCTAATACCGTACCACCCAATAACAACAAACGTAAAAGTGGTCTTGGTAAAGTATGTGGGATAGGTAATGTAGTAGAAGGTACGTTTACATTTGTCGTTGAATTAAGACTTTTCTCCAAATCTTTAGATATCGAACGAGTTTTAGGTGTAAAACTTTGATCTTCCTTCTTTATTTGAGTTGTAGCTTTAGGAGTTATTAAACCGACGTTTTCCGTTTCATCCTCTTCATTTTGTGAAAAGTGAGGTTCGGAAATCGTTATGGAAGGATAAGGGAATCGTGAAGATTTCGGAGTACGTAAGATAGGTCCAAATACGGGTTGGTTGTATGGAGAAGGGAATATAGTATCCAATGTGAACCCTCCGTTAAAGTTTTGAGGTGTACGTGGAGAACAAAGTTGGGTTTCTAAAGAAGAAGATATGTTCAAAGGTGTGAAATTCGGTTTTCGAACGTTTGAAAGAGATGGTGGAGAAGGTGGTGGTGAGAAAAGATATTTATGAATTGGAGACGACATTTCTTAGTTGTAGATCTCACCGGGAGATATAAAGTGTATTGAAATGAATGTGGGTTTCTCGCTTGGGAGAGATCGAACGAACAGGTCAGAGTTGATTAAGAAAATGGCGAGAGGGAAAAAAACCCTTAAGAAGGGAGAGCGAGTGGTCAAGGGTGTGGTGAGAAGCTAGAAGTTTGAGAAGCTGGGAAAGTAAAGGAAGGAACAAATACCAGACTATCAAAGTCTGTGAATAAGAGTGAAAGATGGGTCCTGTCAAAGGAAGAATAGCAACGGATGTCAAGAAGGATTACAGTCTTTAGACATATATCCTTCTTTCCACGTCGACGCGACGCGAATTGGTCAGTAGGTTTTAGTGAAAGTCAAGGGATCGGAATAAGGGCCAACTTATACCAACCATGTGAGCAGTGAGCAGGAGTCAGAGTACGAGTACAGTACGTCCGAGGGCTGAGGGGGCAAGTAAGGAAAGCATGTTAAAGTTGTTCCCTTTTTTCGCTTTTTCGGGTGACAGGTTCAAGATGGCATGGCTTTGGAAGGACGCGTCGCGCTTCTGGTGGCTGAGGGGATCGAGGGAAGTGACGCGTTGGCGGAGATCGCCGCTTACGACTCTCCCACGGGTGTTTCCTCAGTCAACCAGGCGGTAGGTGGCCGTGAAATAGGACGGCAATGAGTACGAATAGACATTGCAGGTCGAATTAGGACGAGAGGAACCAGTATATAAAAAGAGACTTGAAACAAAAATCAAGAAACAAGGATCAAGATGACAAGTAATGACATGACAGAATGGTTGTCTGATTCAAATGAAGTTCTGACCTTGCGTCTAGGTGAGTCTTCACAATCTGCTTCTCCCACTTCCTCGTGATGTCATATTCCCTTGAGGTTTTATGTCCGCAGTTGATGGTCATTGATTTCTCTGACAGCTGGATAGAGCCATACGAACGTTGGCTGGATCCAGTATTGAGATTTGGCAAGAATCGCTAATATCAGTCCGGGCACATGAAGATGACGAGTTATTGAGAGGGGATGAAAGACAAAACGTTCAACCTTTCCACCCGGAATTCACTTATCCGATATTTGGAGAAGAAGAAAAGATATTCGGGTACAAAAATCTAGACGTTTCTGTAAGCTCTCATCCCCTTCATCCACCTCATCCACCTTCGACTCCATGCTCGCCTGTAGCCTCCCCTTCAACTTCCATGATCTCGAGGTCCTTCTGCCGCCCTTCCTCCATCATTGTAGTCTTCCTCGTTAGCTTTTCAATACGAAGCAAAGAAGTTATCTCAGGGAAAGAAAATCTCCTGATGATCAGCTGGAATTCTCATCAGGTTCACTCCGTCAACATCTAACCATCTCCCATTCAGCCCAACTCTCATCATCCGCCACTCCACCAGACGATATAGAAGGGATATTATATAAATTCATCCCTCCCGATTATTCGAAATCTTCAGAAGATTTCGATCGGCTGGTACAAGAAGACTCTTTGAAGTTCAGACCTTTGGGAGAGAAAATAGGAGAATATTCGAGACCTGCTTGGAAAGCAAAGGGTAAAGGGAAAGGGAAGAAAACTAATGGAGCTGGAACTACGGGATTGAATGAGGAAGGGAAAGAGGGGGAGGTGAACTTTGAGATGTACAAGGTGAGTCCATGTTTGTTCACAGGATATTCATAATACTTTGGGTCTCAGTCCGACTTTCAGACCTCCATCTCGTCTGAGGAGGTGAAGGGAAGTGAGACGATCGTCGACTGCGTTGACAGGTCATGTGATGAGGTGTGAAAAGGGGATATTGATGATTGGATGATGACACTACAGACCACTTGGAACACCCCGGGATTCAGAGAATATCACCGAAGAATGCAAATCTTTATTCTTTTCTTCATAGAAGGTGGTAGTTATGTTCATGTGAGTTGGTTCGTGGATCTTTCGATTTCTTACAAATCATTGGGGGGGTTCTTCCATCACTCTGATCGTCACTATTGCTGACTTTTATCATTCTCATCATCTGTCTGGCAAATTTCCATCGCTCTGATCCGCCCTCCAGCTGGATGTTTTCACCCTTATCGTCACTCTGCGTCACTTTCACTATAATGGCCGCTCTGTCGGACTTCTGTCAGTCCCATCGCTGCCCTGGCTGACGTTATAGGAAGACGAAGATGCGTGGGAGTTTATAACTCTTTACGAACGTCGAACGCGGTCCACAGGAGAGGAAACGTATCATTTCGTTGGATATACATCTGTATACCCTTTTTGGTGTTATCCTGATAGTGTGAGATTAAGATTGAGGTGAGTCATTTCCTCTTCCCCTGATGCCTGATACACCTCCCTCCACGCTTCCCTCCCTCCACTCACAATTTCTCATTTCCCTTCCCCATTTGCATCTTCTTTCCTCTTGCCAAATATGCACGGACTGGTGTAATCCTTTCATTCGTCATCAAGCGATTCATGTGACGAAACATCAAGACACGCAGAAATTCAAGGCAACAAGATATCAGACCAATTATCGAGGCATCCGTTTCCGTGCTGATTCACAGCCAATTCGTCATCTTACCACCTTACCAACAATTAGGACACGGTTCCGCCCTTTATTCCACATTATATCAACATGTTCTTTCCCGTCCTGAAGTCGCGGAACTCACAGTGGAAGATCCAGCGGAAGCGTTCGAAGATTTAAGGGATAGGAACGATCTTCGATGGTTGGTCAAGCAAGGTGTACCTGATGATCCTTTATTTGGTCAGATTGGTGGTACGAGAGCTGAGAGGGTGAAATGGGAGATGGGATTGAGGAAAAAGTATAAGATTGCTCAGGTGGGTTTCATTTGTACTTCACAACCTTCATATCTCACCTCCTCCTCTTTCATTCTTACCTTTACTACAACATACACTTGATCCGTCTCGAGCGCCATGTTACTTTTCCCACCCACATTCATCATACTTCAATCATGGTGAATAGATACGAAGGTTCCATACCTATCTACAAAAACGCTTGGTTCCCTTTCACCCTTCCTCTGACTTTGGAAAAGAACGTGATTTGTTATCAAGCGATCAAAAGATTAACCCCACAGCGCCAATTCGATAGATTATTAGAAATGTTACTTCTACGTCGATTAGACCGATCTGATCCGGTCAAAGTGAAAGCTTATCGTTTACACGTAAGTTCCTTCCGTCCACACTTGACACTTTCCCACCAAGTCAGGGAATTCAAAATAGCTTGATTTCCTTCTCAAAAAGTAACTCTACCCCATCTATATACCTGACAATAATGTGATCTTCCAACCCACCTTCCATCACCGATACGATGTATCGAACAGAGATCAACAAACTTCTGCGTATATATACATATGTATACTGGTACTGGTACTGATACTGACTGTTCTAGGTCAAAGCGAGACTTTACAGATTCAATTATGAAATGTTATGTCAAATGAGTTTAGAAGAAAGGAAAGAAGCTTTGAGTAAAACGTACGAATCTGTTATTGAAGATTATGATCGTATCCTTTCCATCACTTTTTGACATGTTCCCACAATATAAACACTATGTTTCTAACTGCCAACTTGCAAATTCTCTTTTCACTTCTTTCATCTTTGTGTTCATATCAAAGTTGGTAGTTGTTTATCAGGGAATGAAATATATCAAATTGTTCGTATTGAATTGACCGTATATGCACAAATCATTCTATCAATATAATGAATGCGTTCCTCTGCGTCTTTTCTTTCCTCCCCTCACGTGAGTTTCACTTGACTTGTTCAATGATCATTGGGGATTTAAGAAAGAGCAAGTAGAGTAGTCGTATTGTCCAATGCATAAATATGTAAGTGATTATTTTGATATATACACATGTTTTCACCACTATCGAATCACCTTGTTTCAAAAACGTATCAAATCTCACTCTACTTACTCCACGATATATCCCCCTGCATCAACCATTCTATCATTCCATCAAGTGTCCTATCCCGTCGTATTTTGTATAGATTACCCTCTTCGCTCCCTTGTCACTCAGTTAACCCCTTCGTAACCCCGTGTCCTTGCTCCTGTTCATTGGATATAACCAAAGGAGGTGAGATCACGCTTCAACAAAAGCACGGAAAGCTTCCAATTTATCTTCTGCCGTCCATTGTATTTTAGTCCCACAAGCAATAAATACCACATCTCCTTTTTCCACCAAAACTTCTTCCTCCACTCGCCCTCTTCTCGCCGTCTTTCCTTCACTTGTGGCAACTTCCTTGAGTTGGCTTATCTCCCCCTTGACCAATGTATCCTTCTCCCCTGAAGACTCCGAAGACTCGACACATTTGATCTTCCCACTCCCAGAAGTAACAACAACCACACTTGGTCCTTCCACCGCTTTGTGTTCATCTATCTCTGCACTTCCTAACGACACCTTGACCACTGAGAATTCATCAATGGGAGGATCGTATAATTCCGAATTTGTGGAAAACTTCACAGGCCGTAAGAGTTGTTTTGATCCTGGACCAGCATCGTATGTTAACATCGAAACTAGAGTTGGGACGTCTCGAAGTTTAGGAGTGAGACCAGCGCGAACGACATTGTCAGATGTCGCCATACATTCGATAATGTCTGATGGGTCAGGGAATCATCCTTTCATGAGGATATCTTTGTACTTCATCACATCTATAGTGGAGTACCTAGTCAGGGGGGACGTGCGGGTGGCGCGTAGTGTAAAATCGTGGCGCGGGGAAAAAATGCTCCAGGTTGAGAGGCCTTTAAATGTGGAGATGATATGAACATCTTGGCTGATAGGAGTTGAGTAAGGAAAAGGTGGGGGGAAGTTGACGAATGATAGACAAATCTTGTGAAGGAAGGAAAGCATCATACTATATTGTGACTGACTAGAAATATAGGAATTACAGTTATGACGAGGTTAGAGAAGGGGGGAAGGGACAACACCCACCTCCAGAGATATACGCATGAGGCATGTTAGCTCCTAAAAACGCCGCCTGACCAACTTGCAACTCCACGACATTTAACAAAAACACACATAAAACACCTACGTCCCCAGGATATTGTTCATCCAACATCAAAGTCAACTCTCTCAAACTTTCCTCGTTAGGTGTCAAACTTTCGTTCTTCTCATACCTCTCCACCAGAGATCTCACAGCGGGTTTGTACACCGACTCGGGGGCAGACATGAACGCTTCGAATATATCTTTGAGGATTTGTCTTTGTTCTTCCGTCGGAGCATCGGTGGATGTGAAAGATGATGTGTCCGGTGGGAGAGTAGTAGGGAGGGAAAGGGAAGCGGCGAGGGAGTTTGTGAGGGAAAAAGGGATGAAAGATAGTTCTGGGACGGTGAGAAGATGAAGAAGGATTTGAGGAAGGGGGAGGAAGTTCAAAAACGCCAGGAAAGGCGTGAGGGCGATGGCCATTTCGGGTTTATGGTTGTTGTCTTGTTTGTGTCAGTGATTCTCTCTCACTTTGAACACGTCAAAGAGTGCAGATAAACTCTTCGGGGTAATCCTTGTAAGTTAATGGGGAATGAGAGTTGAGAGGGTATCGACAGTAGGTTGAAGATTTCCATATGATTCATCTCATACGACGGAGGGGCAGGATTCAAGAGACCAGCTGAAGTAAAAGAGATGGTGGGAAGCTGGGAGAGAGGGAGGAAGTGTTGCCGGGCGGCCGAGCGAGTGGGCGTGAGCGTGGGCGTGACGGAGAGGGCGAGATGAAGAGGATAAGGAAGACGATGAGAACAGGGTAAGGCCAAGGGGAGAAGAAGAAGGAGAACACTTCAAAACTCACCTTTATATACATCCGGACGTTCATCAAACAACTTCTTGGCCAATTCTTTATCAGGATGAGCTTGTATACTCAAAGCGGTCCCAATACTAAGAACTTTGAATAAAAAAGGTAATGAACCTTTTTTACTTTCTGGGAATGCAGAAAGGACTTTATGACCTATCAATTCTGGATGTTTTTCCAAATGATCTGATAAAAGTGTAGATGTTGCGGTTAGAGTTGAAGGAAGTGTAGGATGTGTTCCCATCCATAACTATCTGTCAGTCTTGTCTTTACACACACGTTCCTTACTTGACTTATCCTGCTGATATCTTGCGCCAACGAGACAGGGGGTGTGTCTAGTTAGATGGACGTTTGGTGTGGTTCAGAGGGACGTTTAGTGTGGTTCTTTCATAGGGATGTTTGGTGTGATTCTTTAAGAGGGATGTATCACCATCTGTCATGTGATGAGGGATTGTGAATTGAAGGACATGGGTGGTAGTTTGTAATGTGAGGGTGGATGACCCGTGAGCCAGGTAGAGAGGCGATGATGGGTATAGTCAACAGTATCATGCCTTAAAGAAGCTTTTCGTACATAAAGAGCAGGGGAAAAGAAGAGCTAAGAGAGAACATCTCACCTCTGCATAAGTCTTCTCTTCATCAGATTCAAACCCAACCACAGATTTCTCTCCTAATTGAGCAGCGAGTGAAGAACGACCTTTTTTACCCCAAGCGTAAGATTGTATACCTACGTTTAGTTTGAAAATGAGTTTTGATTGCATTATGTCTTATTGATCTATCTAAGATCTTCTTGGTTGGTGTGGTACTGAAGTCGAGTAGGGTGATAGTGTTATAGTAGAGTAGTGCTGGTAGAATGAGAAGTTGAGAAGAGAGTTGAGATGGGATGGGAAGTGACGAACGTGGTGTTGCGCCCTTTGGCCGAGTTTGAAATCGACCCCGTTTTAGGTGCACTTTCCTTTGACCTCTCTGCCAGATCACACAAACATTCAGTGATGGGGGAGTACTACTGCTAGCTGCTAGGTTGCTAGGTTGCTAAATGCTTGAGCATAAGGGCCACAGTCAGATCTCCAAGATTGCCACACCGAAACCCAGGTAAAGTAGGCAGTAGTAAGTTAGTAGCATTGTTGACCGCCCACTGCACTCCACCGCTCTATACCGACATGCATTGCACAAGACTACACATACATCGCTCCTGGCGATATTCAATCATTAACACGATTACACAGAAAATCTTCACTTCTCATCACTTTGTGGAAATAGGTAATGTCGTACCGCTAAAAGTCAACTTTCCATTCCCATAATCAAATGAGGAAAAACTCACAAAACCACATCCCACACTTTCGAAGTCACCCCGAACCCCAATTCAAAGTCTAACCCCATCAGCATCTTAAACAATATCCTGAATCACTGAAAGACTCACTTTTGTAATGATGAGCCAAATGATATCTCTTCATCTCGGCCAAATATTGAGGTAACTTTGTATGATGTAAAGCATAGTGCATACAATCGTAGAGAATGTAAAAAGTGAAACTCCCACTGATTATACCGTTTGCCATTGCTTTAGGGAATAAAACATGAGCAAGTTTTGTGAATGGAGTTTCTAGGGTGAAGAATAGTAAAGGTGGCATGACTAGTCGAAGTCTGTCCATAGGTAGGTAATGATGTACTCCATGGAGAAGGAAGTGAAGAGTGATGGCCCAGTTCGTATCGGGTAGGTAATAATCGATGTGGAATAAGAACCGGTGAAGGGTGTATTCGAGAAGGGTCCATATGACATTACCGATGAAGAAACAAATGAGAGTTTTGGGGATGGCTAGGGAGGATGGGAGGGGCAGGGAGGGTAGAGGGTAAGTGAGTAGTTGAGATGCGGTCACGGAGCTGTGAAATGAGCATAGTTCGACCAGTCCACAGACATCCATCCTTCTTCTCTTCGTCTGTTCTGCTTTCTCGAGTTCAGGTTGTGCTTGTCTCAGAGTTCAGGCTGTACTTTCCCAGATTGAATAGTACTTGCTCATGTTTTATACCACTTTGCAGATTGAAGAAGTGAAGGAAGGCAAGAGGGAAGCGGCATCTGCCAACTCACGAATCGGTAAACTGCAAAGTAGATAGATAGAACAAAAACATGGTAATAGGTCCCCATATCATTGGCACGACCCACCACTGAGTTCTTGTAAAACCCTGTTTGTCAGTGTGTACTCTTTGATCAATCGACCTCTCTCCTACCGCCTCTGTCCTAGCCTCAAGAAAGTCACAGCGACGACAGGCATGATCCAGTATTCTTTCAAAAGATTGTCAATGGAAATCAGAGATAGATAATGAAGGATGGACAAGCCAAGAGCCTTCAACTCACCTCTAAAAAACCCCACTCAAACATTCTAGCACTTTCTTTCAAATGACGAGGATTATGAACTTGACTGAGGTAATATTCTTTGGTCCAAGGTGCAAGCCATACTTGTCTCAAGAGAGGTTGAGAAAGGTCTATGAATTTATTACGATTGTAATCGCTTAACGTATCGGTTTCGTCTGGATGATAATTTTCGTCTGGTACCCAATCTGGAAAGTGTCAACAATGTTCCAATCGTATAGCATACGCCTTTGAAGACCATATATACAATGTAGTTCCAAAAACCATGACGTTCGGACCACCGAGACTAAGATGAGCAGAGATTGTAATTGGGAAGGGTGATAAAAGGATGGAGGAGATTGATATAATCAAATACACTCACCCTCGCTGACAATCTTCTCGTCACCTCCTAATTCCCCAATCTTGTATTCTTCCAACATCTCATAAGCGCTCCTCGAATGAACATGTTCACCCGGATCACTCATCACACCACCTACGTCCGTCCCAGCGTATTTTAAGACGACGTCATCCCCACCAGGATGATCAGGAAGGAAATGAGTGATATCGTATACTCCTCCGCGGTAGGTGATCCATAAAGATGCAGGTGATGTGTCTAGTATCAGTATATATTTTTCACTTCACATATCTCACTGTCCTAGACGATAGTGAAAGACTAGTCCCATTGCAGGATTTCGAGTATCAGTATCCAACTCATAAAAAATGACCCGAGAGGGAGGTTGTAACGACAAGAGACATAGAACCGATATGTGATAGTGGTTAAGGTAGAAATGGGAGGAATGAAGTGTTCGTACTCACGTCTGGCAACATCGACCAAAGCGAAGATCTTGTTGACTTTTTTTGACATTTTGTTGTGGTGTCCGAGGGTCAAGTGGCGAATCAAGAGAAATTGGTCGTAATGGGATTTTCCAATGGAATCGTGGTTGGATGAAGACTTTCAGCGATGGGAGTGCCACGTAATAGGTAAAGAAAGGATAGAAGATAAGAAAGAGCGACGACGGTCGGTAGAGTGAATGGAATAGAGTAGAAGGAAAGACGTGTAGGAAAAGTCGACAACACGGATACAACCGCAGCACGACCCGGGCAAGATCGGCAAATGACCAGTGGCCTATGACCGAGGTTAGCTCATTTCTTTACTTATCCCTGATTCAAATCTCATTAGAAAACAAAAACAAATTCAACTTACCTCCCTGAGGGTTAAGGATTAGGAATTTCATTTAGGCGCGTAAATTGTCCCCATCTTGACTGATAGGCGTCCCGAAAGTTGCAACCACCCTGGACAAAGATCTCCATTCCTCTTCCAACTTTCCCTTTGGTTCACTACTACTACTGGTACAAGCATACACTCTCCATGTCGGACGTTATCGACCGACTTGACGACTATAAGTTTCTTTGTACATTCGCGCCCTTTTCATCAAGATGGTGCATCCCTTTCTCAGGTGGACATCATCCGGACGGTCGGACGGATCAACATCACCCCTTTGCTCACATGAATACATACCCGACTCCGGGAGTGTTGGACTCGCTCGGATGACGACGAGCATCGCTAGCCTCGTGTCCTCACCATCAACGTGGTCCGCATGAGACCCTATAGCATCACTGGGCTCTCTCTTCCTTCATCATGTCTACATTCACCCAGATCGATATCCGTCAACCATCAGGCAGCCCACTTTCCACACGATGACCTCCAGTATTCCTGTTCCTCCCTTGAAATTAACTCCTCTACCTCCTCCCAAACCTAGTGATCCTCGGGCCGCGGAGATCCCGATACTTGAACAACTCGTCGACTTCCATCATCCTCATTTCAAGATTCAACTCTCCGACGGTCAGTATCCGTGGGAGGACATTGAAACTTCCGGACGTCTTATCACTAACAATCCCGACTTCCCTCGTCGATTCGTCCACTCTAATCACTTGATTGACGACATCCTGCCGCCAACGCTTTCCCACACATGTCAGCAGCTCGAGAATGACCCTGATGCCCGCGGCGAAGTAGCTTATAACCTTGAAACCTTCGCAACTTCACTTCAAGGCGTTCATGAAATTTCAATTTGCAGTGACGAGGAATTGGCACGGCACATGCTAAATCTTTATACTCGCCTGTTAGAGACGCTATGGTATGGTGGCAGATATGACGAGGAGCTTCGGGCATTTAGGCCTTCAGGGAGTTTGAGGAGTTGGAAGATAGATTGGGATCGGTTCGTTTCAATCGTCTACGTTCGTCTCCTTCTCATGGAGACCTGGCAGAATGAAACGGGGGAGTTTGCAGAAAAAAAGAAGGCTATCGTCGAACTTCGTTCGGGCGCGATGGGAAGCTTTCGTATCTTCAACGCCGTTCTTCAAGCAATCAAAGTAGGTGGTGTCCGAATAGACGATGATGGACGCGCCGTTTTGACGAGGAGAAAGATTCGCAAACGTCTAGGTCGAAAGGTTGTGGATCAAGTTGAGCGCCTATTGACTCATGTGAGTGCGGTTTTGATTAGCTTTGTCCATTATCGCTCTGAGGAAAGATCCGTAATAATATTGCTAATGATCAGATGTGGTGTCAGATGCTGCATCATTCCGTCCGTATAGCTATCCTCACCTCCCACGAATGCACCCTGACCTTTTACGTCCATGATAACAAAATGCAAGTAAGCGATCTCATACGGCCCAACGATGCGACTCTACATGAGCCATGCAGATCTCCCTTGACCCTCCTGTCCAGTATCAGCCTTCTAGAAGAGGCCAACTTCGCTTTACCGGCCAATTATCGATATAAAGATCCAGCCTTGAATGACCAGCCTGTAGCCACACTTTGGGGTTGCTTTCGCCGACGCAGTCAAGATGAGAACACACCAGCCTGGTGGAGGGATGCACAGTACCGCCCATGCCCAGACACCGATCGTCCCCTCCACGATCTGACATTCTCGAGACTCCTTCCGCCAAGGGCTTCCAAAGCGACCGTTCCGGAGGATGTTCCTCCTGCCTCTCTGGACCAAGATAAGATTTCGTTGTCTCAGGTGAGTTCCAGCCATATACCTCGATAGTGAGAATGTATCGCTGAAATATTAGCTGGGTCCACCTTCACTATTCGTCCACTTATCTCCCCAGTATACCTTTCAGCGCGTGAAGGAAGAGGATTATTCTCATTCTCTCATTCGAGCTCGCCGATGGACCTCCCTTCTACACGGTCCTGTCGCTCTCTCCAACTTGCAAGGTACTCGGCTTCCTGTTCTTACTCCCGTGTCGATCGGCACCCTTCCCAAAGCATCAGCCAGCAAGACAGCCTCCCACTCTCGGAGAATCGCCTTGACCGAAGAGATCCCAACTTCCACCTTCATTCCACAGGTAGTCGTTGTTGACGAACTGCTTTCCTGGGGAGCGGTCTGGGACGTTTACCGTCTTACCTCGCCTCCTGACTTGAAACCGTTTGCGTTCCCCTTGATTGGGAAGATTATGTGTATCGAGTGCTTTGAGGCTGAATTGGATCCCGACAAATTATACGACATGTGGACGCGGGGTGGAACAACTCAAGTTCAAGTCCAAGAACAAGTGAAGCGGGAGCTGGAAGTTTTGACCGCTTTGAGTGAACTGGAGCCTCCTATCATACCTCAAGTACTTGGTTTGTGGGGAGGGCTGCAAAGAGGGTATCAGGTATGGATGATGGTAATGGAGGATGCCGGGGACGGGTTGTATGGGGATTTGGGCGAGGAAGATATGTGAGTTCGTCTCATCTCCTTGCCTCGAACTCCCCATGTTGTCTTGCGTCCATTATCCTGAAAACTGTCCGAGTGGCCCCATGTGAACGCTGCTGAAGCTCAGAAATGCTGTCATGAGTCTATATGAGCGACTACATGCTGCAGGCTTTCTACATGGCGACGGACAGCGACGTCATATGTGCCGAATGTCGGCAAAATCCTCGGATCCCTCGGCCATACGACTCATTGATTTCGACCGGGCGGTCACACGTGCGCAATTATCAGAGGAGGAATGGCTGGAGCAGTCAAAGAATGAATGTCAATCGGTGCTGAACGGTCTTCGATATAGTAATGAAGTCGGCGAGTAACATAGCTTCATACTCCGTTTTTCGTCTACAATGTCTACAGATACGTATATCCATTACTCGTCCCGTCTTACTCTCTTTCTCAATTGACCAACAAAACTGGACCTCCGGCGTCGAACACACATTCGTCAGGGTGAAGCAAAGAGAGGGCAGTGAAAAATGTCATGAGTCCACCCAAGACGTTGTCCGGTCCGCCAGTCCCCCTCACAAAAACCTTACTCACCTCTATATCACCGTCATCGTTGACGTAGAACACCATAGTCCGTTCGTGAGTAGTCATCACTCCGATACGAACCCGATTCAACACCATTCGAACCCACATGTTACGCATTATCTCCGCCACAATCTTGCCTTCTTCGTGTGTCCCAATCCAATGTCCCCGCCCCTCACTGACGGAATTACTCCCGTCGTCGTTGAAAGTGATGATGTGGTGGAGGATGGCTCGATGGATACAAGTGAACTTATCGTTGGAAATTGATTTTGTACTCTGCTCCCATACGACCACCAACGGCTGACGAGCTCCCTGTGGACCCCTACACAACACCCATGGTGCAGTCAGACCCTTTGGTCCTGCCGACACCCATTCGCGTCTCTTTGTACGGTCCCATTCTCGAAGCATGCCAGAACCCACATTGGAGGCGAGTAGATGGTTGATGTGGGTAAAGTAAGATCTGAGATGGAATACGGGAAGATCTTTGTGAGTTGTAGGTTTTAGTTGTTGATCTCGGGATGTACGGATGGCATCATCGAGAACACGATTGAATGATTCGTCGGCGCCGAGGATGCGGGGGATCCGATCGTTAAGAGTGTCGAGGCTTTCTTCAAGAATGATGAGGAAATCATCGGAGAGGATGAAGTTGATAGGGAAGGATTTGTATTGAGAGGCTGTATGGAGGTTTCTGGCGGATGCGGAAGGGGCGCGACTTCTGCCAGGGATTTCACCGGGTTTGTCGATGACTTGTAGGAGCTTGTCGGTATAGATTGGGAGTGGCATGATGGGATTTTGGATAATTGTATGTGATGGCAGAGGAAATTTTGCTAAGATGGAAAGAAAACGGACCCTTGAGTAGTTTAAGAGCTGATGAAAGCCCTTCGACTTGCTATAAGTAGTGAAAAGAACCTCCTCAGTTATTCCGCAAGTTCGATATAGCCTCGAGGTTTCCTGTCGATTCGCCTAGTTTCCGGACGTCTCGAGAGAAGCTCGATACTCCGAAGGTAGTCAGTGAGTCGCACATTCCTTCGCCCCGTCCACTTCCTCTTTCCTCTCCACGACTCCTACCCTCTTTCTCCAAAGTGTCCCAATGACGTCCGAGAGCACTGAAACGTTGCAATGGACAGGACTAGAATTGTACGTCCGCTAACGTCAGAAGACAAGAAAGCAGGATTCGACTCCTCAATTCAAAGCTTCATTGCCGCTTTCAGCATGTCGAACACAAGCCACCAGATTGTCAAGTCGCCCTCGGACATAAAGGATGACTCGCACAATCTGCAACACTGCCTCTGATCAATACGAAAGTGTGTTTGAGGACAAGTCGACATGTCCTGTGGCGCTGTAGGTCAGATCTGGGGTAGAATAGAACCATGTCCTGTCACTTAACTCATACACCCCGATATCCGCCCCTTCCCCTCGTACGTGAGGCGTTTGTGGGGGTACTATACATAACATGGGACTATACGAAAGGATCAAGTTTGCTTTTCGGCTTTTTCCACATGTCCCCGAGAATTGCCATGAGGGAATAACGACCAGCCTCGTGTTACTCATGCTCCTCCTGTGCGCCCTCCCGAATCCCATCCCCTCAATCTATGACTCACATGCATCAGTGTCGGTCGCACTTCCTTGTCGTATCTTGACAGTCACAAATTCCTCCCTTCCAACGACCAGTGTACCAGTAGTACTCGTAGTGTCAAGTGAGTAGCTAGTAGCATACTTCGGGTGTTCATACCGTACTTACATGATAAGGTCATACTCCTTAGATCAAACGCCCAGCATGCGCCCCACGCCCTCTTGCCGACGATGAGGCATTTGTTCGACAACAATACACTCTGGGAAACCAAGCTGGTACGAACGGATCAAATCGGGCTCGTTCACTCTACCCACATGTCCCCAACAGGCAACAGGCGACAGGAGTGTCATGGCTATGAATGACGACGCTGGGAGTTAGACGAGCCTCGTGCTTCCCATGAACCCCCGATCCCCTATTCAATAACCTCTGAAAGTTATCACATGCGTAATCGTCTACCACCTCTCTTTGTCATTATATGACTTTGTCCTCTACTCTGTTTTAACCTCATTGCTAGAATTACCCCGCCAAAAGATGTCTGAAAAAGTACACATCAATGACGATCCCGACTCTCACGATACTACAACCCCCTCTATCCCTTTATTGGAACAACTGGTGACATTTCAACATCCTCATTTCAACGTTGTGGATACCGATAATCAGTACCCATGGGAGGATATCGAAACTTCGGCAAGTCTTGTCGTTACCAATCCTCATTTCCCTCGTCGCTTCATTCACTCTAATAACCTCGTCGATACAATCCTCCCACCTCATACCAAAGCAGCCTGTGAATTCATACAACAGGATCCGAAGACCTGCAACGAGATCTGCACTGAATTGCAAAGAATAGCTAGACAAGCTTCCACCACGGAGGGTGTACCAATACGAGGCGACTGTTCTCTGCTTTTCAAATTCGATGAGTATTATCTACCCACTGTACGATCCCTTGCGTACGCTTTCGAGTCTGCGAAGTCGGGACATCCTAGGCCGTTGGAGGTAGCTCTGGTATGGGATCCAACTGAGGAACGTTTCGTGTCCAACTTGCACGAACGAATGCTTCTTAGGAAGGGAAGATATGGGCAAGGAGCCATCAAAGCTGTGGCTGAAATCCGAGCGGATTCTGGAGCTTCAAAAGTCGTATATAAAAATATCGCCTTAGCTGTAAAGACTGGCTTAGTCAAGGTGGATAACGATGGTCGTGCATCTATCACCAAGAGGAAGGTTCGAAAACGTTTGGGGAGGATGATGGTAGATCAGGTGGAAAGACTTCTCACACATGTGAGTACAGTTTGATATCATCCTTAACTTTCAACAGTGTGCCCACTAGTCTCTATACCTGATAATAATGACTATGGTATCTACGCTGACTTTCAGATGTGGTGTCAACTCCTGCACTCTCGAGTACTCATAGGACTTCTCACATCCCACGAATGCACTCTGAGCTTTTACGTCAATAACGGTCGTATCGAAGTTAGCGAGGTGATTCATGCCAATGATGCTACTCTCATTACACCTTGTCGAGGTTTTCTTCCCCTGATTTTCGCACTCACCGTACTCCCCGAAGATACACTGGAATTCCCACCGTTCTATGATCCTATCGATGACTTCATGTCGATCGACGAGACTTCCTTGTTCTGGGTTTGCCATGCAGAACGTGATACATCCGAAACATCGCAAGCCTCAGAAGCGCCTTGGTGGATGGGTAGCTACGAACGCCACACAGGAACAGAGGTGGCTACCAAAAATCTCTCGTTTTCCCATCTTCTGCAGAGCTCTGTTTCCCGAGACAGTATGCTGGAACACCTCATCCCGCCCGAGACCACACCACCGCAAGTAAGTTCCGACAGAATATTAACCCCTGCTGCACAATTCTAGCGCTGATAGAGCAGCTAGGACCCCCTTCTCTGTCCGTCCATCTGTCCCATCAGTACACCTTCCAACGAGTGAAAGAGGAAGATTGTTGGCACTCGTTGATACGCGCTCGTCGTTGGCCTTCCTTACTCCATGGCCCAGTGGCCATGCAGCGTATGCAAGATGTTGGAATTCCTTCGCTCGTAGCTGAATCAGGTGCGGCGACAACAAAACGAAACAGAAATCGAGCTACATCGAAACTTCGCTCAGCCAAACTTTTCACCAAACCCACGTCCAAAATCACGACTGTATTTCTCCCACAAACGATCGTTGTCGAAGATTTGATCTCATGGGGAGCTGTTTGGGATGTTTTCAAACTGTCTTATCCTTTGGGCGTAGAGCCTTTTCCCTTCCCACTCATTGCGAAGATTGTCACCATTGAGTGTTTCGAGGAAGAACTTCATATCGAGACTACGGACTACGACGAATGGGTACGAGGTGGACATACACAAAAGCAAATACGTGAGAAGATGAGGACGGAATTGAGCACCTTGAACGCTTTGACCTCTTTAGAACCCCCTATCATACCTCGAGTTTTGGGCTTGTGGGGAGGGTTGCAGAGAGGTTATCAGGTTTGGGTGATGATAATGGAGAATGCGGAGGAATCGTTGGAGGAGATCGACATCAATGAGGACGATTGGTGAGTATATCATCTCTGTTGTCCCAAAATCAGGTTCCACACGCTATGACACCCAAAGTGTCTGACTTCATCCCGCGCAGCGATCATCAGTTGAAGTGTCTAAACGTCGTTAATGAGCAGTGCCGCGGTCGTTAACCTGTACGAGCGCCTACATGCGGCCGGCTTCCTTCATGGCGATGTCGAACGCCGTCATCTTCGTCGATCGTCCACAGCAAAGTCCGAACCCTCTGCAATACGCCTGATCGACTTTGACCTCAGCAAACGCCGGTCTGAATTGTCCGAGGAGGAATGGAATGAGCGTCAAAAAGAGGAGATGGCACGAGTAGTGAGTATATTGCGCTACAAGTGAGATACATGTTACGCGCTATAAGATCATTCCTATTCACTCAAGTCACTACCCCTCATTGATGTCTTCTCCCCCACATTTCCGACTTAATCTGCCAAAGCACGAACAGGTCCGCCTGCCTCGACAAGATAGTGAAGAGGAGTAAGAGTGGATAGTGCTACGAAAAGAGGAAGAACTCCGTCCAACGTTCCTGTCACCGCCCCCTCATTCTTGGAGAACACCCTGCTCACTTCGACCCTACCATTGTTCATGAAAAAGAGAAGAGACCGCTCATGGGTGGTAAGAAGACCCAGACGTATCTGCAATGTCGCTAACTTGGTCCACATCACCTCCAAAATCCTTTCAATTCTTCTTTCATCTCCTACCAACGAATAATGATTGACAACTTTAACATGACCCCGAGCATCCATGGAGACGAGATCGAGACCGATAGCACGGCGGATATTATCAAAGGTGGCAAGGGGAACTGTCAGAACGCTTTGCTCCCAGACACAAGCCAGGGGCTGTTCTTGACCTTTTTTGGTGGTGTGTCTGAGTACCCATTGGTTGGTGAGGAACTGAATACCCCCCTTGACCCAACTTCGGGGCTCGGGATGGTCGTCGCCGAATTTCAGAACGTCGCCGAGATGACGAGTTCTGAGGAATGTGTTAAGAGGTGTGATGTATACGTCGCCGTGCATGTTTGACAGTTCTTTCATACCCAGATTCTGACCTTGATATTGATTGGACAAATTGGTGACGGTGTTGATGAGATGGAGGAATGCTTCTCGAGTGAGATTGGGATCAACGAGAGCTTGGTCAAGCTTCGAGAGCTGATCTTCGAGGACTGAGGTGATGCCATCGCCAAGAGTAAAAGATCGAGGGAAGTTGGTAGAAAGATTTGCTCGTTCAAGAACTCGAGTAGTGACGGCAGTGGGAAGACGTTTCTGACCTTGGATAGGAGCAGCACAGTCTACGACTTGTTGGAGTAGGGGAATGTAAGTGGCCATGATGATGGGTAATATGGTTGATGTTAGAATGGAAGGGGAGTTGATATTGGTATGGTAAGAAGTGAGTGCAGTTCTCGATGTCGTGAGAACTGAAGATATGACCTATCCGATTATCATTATATACCTTACTCGAGTTGATAACATTTCGAAAACCTCGAGGCGTCTACGAACCTTCCGACATGCTGTCGACAGGAGGGGAGGTTCACAACTTGTGTATAAAGAGGAAATGAGGTATATTCGTTCCGATTTACGTCCTCTTTTCCCTCCACGACTCCTACTTTCCTTCACCCCAAAGAATTTCCGTCAAGTCTAAAGTCACTGAAACGTTGTAATGGACAAGACTAGAATTGTACGTCCGCTGACTCCAGAGAATAACGTCGCGGGACACGACTCCAATGTTCGAAACTTCGTTACCCCTTTCAGCAAGTCGAACATAAACCCACTCTAACTCCAAGTCACCTTCGGACATAAAGGACGGATCACATAATCCACATACAACACTGCCTCTGATCAAATGATCATGACGAACGGGTGTTCGAGGACCGGTCAGCTTCTTTGAGGCGCTACAAGTCGGATCTCAGGTGGAGTAAAGCTTGTCCTTCCTTTACCTCACATCCCCAATAAACCCCCTGCGAGCCGGCAGATGAGTATTTGCGGGAGGACTATACGTGCCGTGGAACCTTATGAACAAATCAGATCGGCCGGCTCCGGCCAACACAAGATTGACATGCTAGAATGACGATGATGATGCCGAGGAAGATAACGCCTGGGGGGGTAGGCGGCAGTCAGCCTAGGTCGATGCTGCGTGGAGCAAGGGGTACAGGACAAGGTTGGAAGTCGAATAGGTGTAAGTAGATACACCTAACAGCTGAAGGTAAATATAAGATGTACTTTATGTGTCGCTTGCACATTCTGCGGCATGCGGCCGGTATGATTAGAGGGGGGTGGACTTAAGAGTACGACGACGATGGACGAGGACTCGAGTGCCACATTTGCCAGACTGCCACTGTCAGCAATCCGACGGCCTCGGAGATAACTACTACCACGCGTGACTAACGCCGAGACCCACGACGGGGCGATCATGCATGCTGCAACAGTGAGTTAATGTAAACCTACCTAGCAAATACTGTCATGCTCGCTCAAGCAGCTACATGCTACAGTATGAGCTTCGAGCTATGCACTGATCACAGCTTGTGAACCCCTCCCGACAACGGACAAGGACATGTGCGCCCGTCAAGATGAATCTGCCCTATTCAGGTGTCCCATCATTCGGACGGTCACGGATCACATCGGCTGACCCTCATTGGGGATAGGACATGTTGGAATGACGACGACGAATATCGCTTGCCTCGTGTCGGCTCATGTATACAGCGTGGATCCGACAATGAGCGATGGCTAAAAGTGAGCTCTCTTTCCGATCTCCTATCATCATCCAATTCCCCTTTGCCTTTCTCCCCTACGTCCACGGCATCTGTTCACTCTCCGTTGGACTGTATGACATCTATGGACGGCGCTGAACATCTAAAGTCTTCGCCTATCCCGGCTCCAAAACCGACCCGTATCAGCGAGCCCTATCCCTCCATTATAGAACAGCTCATCCACTGCCGTCATGCCCGATATGTCACCGAGCATATACAGAATCCTTACCCCTGGGATGATGTTGAGACCTCTGGAAGTCTCCTCTTCATCAACCCCAACTTTCCTCGGACCTTTACTCACTCTAATCATTTGATCGATTATATTCTTCCTCGAAATTTGCGGAGAGCGTGTGAGATGATTGAAGAGTATCCCGATGCCCGCGGAGATCTAGCTTGGTCTCTCGAGAAGACCGCTACTCGTGCAGAACGAGTTGATGGACGCAGGCTATGGAGCGACGATGATATCTCGATGGAGTTCTTATCCTACTACATCACTCACCTCCCTCGTATGTCCAGATCCGGCAGATACGATAACGCCGTCAATTCTATCCTCCCTCCTGGCCATTTTCGCGATTGGTTCAGAGCAGAAGAACGATTCGTATCCAACCTGTATATCAGATTGTTCTTTAGGGATATTTCATCGAACGACACAACTCGTGAATCGGACACCGTCAAAGCGTTTCTGGAGTTTCGCTCGGGTTCAATGGGTAGTAGCCGTACGTTTGAGGCTGTCGTGCTCGCAACCAAAGTTGGCGTTGTCAAAGTGGACGGTCAAGGACGGGCGGTGATCACCAGGAAGAAGATGCGAAAGAGATTAGGGCGTAAGGTGGTGGATCAGGTTGAACGGCTTCTTACCCATGTATGTGCCTCTCGACCCTATTACAATCCAGATTCAGATTCAGAACTGCTAATGTGTGATGGCTTCGCGAGTGACAATCGTCGGCAGAAACCGATGGCTGATAGACAGATGTGGTGCCAAATGTTACATCACTCGGTCCGAATAGGTCTTGTCACTTCTCACGAATGTACTTTACTCTTCTACCTGAACGATGGGCAACTTCAACTCAGCGACGTCATACATCCCAATGACGCCACAGCCGGGAGGCCATGTAGATCGTTGACATCTCTATTTTTTGCTCTCAGTACCGTCAGCGAAAACGATTTCGCTTTACCGGACGAATACGCACGTCATCCTTCTCCGAACAAGGCCGAAGCTTTGGTCACGGATTGGACTTTCGATCTTAGACCTGAGACTCATGTTGGCGCTTCAGTGGAAAACCTGCCTTGGTGGTATCACAGAGTATACAAGCCTTACGTCGGACCCCAGCCTGCCTCCGCCGACTTCACTTTTGTGGAGCTCTCTAAGCAAGGGGGACTACGAATGACCGCGATCGAGGACATTCACGACGAAGCGACAGTTCAACAAGTAAGCTGATACATTTCGAAGTCCCCCGGGTTGGAATTTGTGAAAATGCTGATCAGTCAGTTGGGCCCACCATCCCTGTTTGTGCGACTCTCTTCCGAGTACACTTTCCAACGGGTCAAGAAGGATGATTGTTGGCACTCCTTGTTAAGGGCTCGCCGCTGGCCATCCCTCTTACATGGCCCCATATCCTCATCCCATCTGTGCAGCTCTCGACTTCCTAATTTACTTCCCGCTTCGACGTCCCTGCCTGCTTCGCTCGGACAGACGCTGTCTACCACTGCTGACCCGTTACCTGCCGTATCCTCTTGCACATTTGACTTGCCAATTGTACCAAACTTCGTCTTTCGGCCGCAGACCGTCGTCGTGGGGGAACTTCTGTCGTGGGGAGCGGTCTGGGACGTTTTCCGGCTATCAAGCCCACCCGAATGTACTGCTTTACCCTTCGAGATGATTGCGAAAATTATCACAATAGAATGTTTCGAGAAAGTCTTGGATCCAGAGACTAATTATGAAATCTGGATCAGAGGTGGAGCGACCCAGATGGAAATACAACAGCAAGTGAATCGGGAATATTTAGTCCTCTCTCAGCTTGCGATACTTGATCCTCCCGTTATCCCGCGGGTTTTGGGTCTGTGGGGAGGTCTACAACGGGACTATCAGGTATGGGTCATGATTATGGAGTTTGTAGGTGAGAAGTTGGAAGGTAAACTGGGCAAAGAGGATAAGTAAGCTCTTGATATACCACGTTTCCTCTCCGCTCGCTCTCTTTCTTCGATACCGACGTGCCCTTCTATCACGATATTCACCTATCTCACTGGGAAGCTGATGCACAGAGCTGCAGTGGTGAACTTGTACGAGCGATTACATGCGGCGGGTGTTTTACATGGTGATGTCCGCCGTCGACACATGCGTCGCCGTCGAGAAGTTTCGAATCCTCAAGCCATACGCCTCATAGATTTTGATCGGGCTATCGTTCGCTCGCAGCTGTCCGAAGGCGAATGGCGAGAAAGCGTAGAGAACGAAATGAAGGAAGTTATCAATGTTCTACAGTTCGACTGATTATCAAAATTAGATTTCTTACATGTATGTACATTCATTCACATTTCCAGTACTCTACACACATTACCTGACCTAATCACTCCGTTGCCTTTTTTGTCTGTTCTTATTTTCCCCTTCATTTTCCAATTCTCAACCATAACTATCCCGCTTGTGCTGATTTCTCTATTTGGTCAAGATGGGTGGACCGCCGACATCGAAAAGATAGTCAGATGGGTGAAGGAAGGAGAGGGCGGTGAAAAGCGGCATGAGTCCTCCTAGCACATTTCCCAATCCCCCTTCTCCCCTACGAAATACCCGACTCACTTCCACCCTATTATTGTTGACGTAGAAGATTATCGATCGTTCGTGAGTAGTGAAGATACCGATACGCACTCGATGAGCTGCGAGACGTAACCACATGTGTCCTATAGTCCGACGAAGAGATTCTTCCCTATCTCCTAGGTTTCCGACGATAGCATTTCCGGTTTCATCGATACTGATAGAGTTTTGTTGAATGGCATAACGAAGAAGTTCGAAATCGGTGTTCAAGATGCTTACCGTACTCTGCTCCCAAACTACCGCTAGAGGCTGAAACTTCTCTCCTGCTCCCTCTGGTACCTCACGACCAAGTATCCATGGTCCCTTCGTTCCAACTATCCCGCCACTCCTCCACTTGCGCTCTTCATTCATCTCAAACAACGGGTCAAAAGCATTCTTGATGTTGACGTCCTCAAGTAGGTTGTTGATGGGAGCGAGGTAAATAACACGATGCCAATCGGGGAGACTAGCTGGGGTGCTTGGTCTCGTACGGCCCGTGGTGATAGAAGTGAGTTGGGCGTTGAAGAGCTCTGCGTTGAACGCCGCCAAAGCTTGTGGGGATGTGGAGATCGCATTATCAAACTGGAAAAGGTGGTTTTCGAGGAGAGTGACGACGGCATCAGAAAGAGAGAAAGTGCGTGGGAATCGAGGTCTTGTGCTCTGGGCGGCACGGTGTAGCGCCGTTCCGGACGGTCTGGTCGGAAGGTGTAGGCGTCCCTCCATGGGGCATGGAGTGTCTTGAACTTGGACGAGCATTTCAACTAGGGCAGGGTTGACGTATAGGGCGAACTGCATATTGAAAGGATTGGACTTGGTGAGACTGGAGATGAAGATTAAAGCTCTCAGTTGGTCGAGAACTAAAGAAACAGATTCATCAACCGGGGATATATGTATCAGACGAAAAGCATAGGTCTCTCAAGACTACAAGGGACCTCGAGGCCTGGAAGATGACCTATGGACGTTTCGACACGTTCGGAATATGAAAATACAAGAATCCTCATTCGTACAATAGCTGAATCAATTCCGCTTTCCCTCCTACGAATCCAATGTTCGCTGGTCTTTAAGCCCCTTCAACACATCCAACAACTCCCCAAGTCCCTAAAACGTTGTTGTAGATAGGACTAGACTTGCAAGTACGCCGACGTCAGGAGATGATGTATGAGTAAACGAATCGCCGTCTCAAAACTTCCTTGCCTTTTTCAGCAAATCGAATTCGTCAAGCGACAAGGGCGTCGAATGTCCCTCGGACGTAAAGGATGTGTCACATAATCCACATACAACATTGTCTGTGTGATCATCACAAATGGGTGTCCGAGGACTGCTCAGCTTCTCCTGTGATGCGGGAAGTCGGGATTTGCGGGTGGAGTAGAGGATGTCAGGACAAGGCATATACTGTACCAGGTACGAAGCTTGAATGGGGTTGTTGGTCATTACAGTTCAGTGAGTGAATCAAGTTCTGTATCTCGGCGCCGACACTATCATTCCTTTTGCGTATACAACGCCTCTTCTGAGTTCGGACACTTCCTATAAAGGAAAGCGCAATAGCTAAGCTGACTTTGAGCCCGCAATATATCACATCTTTGTCACACGCGATCTGAAGTCATCCCGAGCTTCATCAATCCTTTACGAGTAGGGCCGTATTCTGTCTCCGGGGAGAGATGGTCGGCCCGACGTTGACTCCCGCTCATGGCATCGGGCCTAGCACCCTTGTCTCAGAGAAGCACACCCATCATACATGCGTAAGCCAAACATCAGAACCGTACATCCCCTTCTCCCCTTCTCAGCCTCGACAAAAGGAAGCAGGGATCGGAATTCAGCTCCTGAGAATCATGTTGCCTTATATCACGGTTTACAACAGACTTCAGGATTGTTCACCTATCTCAAATCGAAGACAAATCCCCTCATACAGATTGAATTCCGCCAATGTCCAACCAACGTCCTGTTTACGAGAGTCTTCTTCGTTTCCTAGACTTTCCTCCTCCTCCCATCCCTAACAGGGGAGAGAAACTCACCCGGGTGGATACAAAATGCAGTGCAACTCTTCTTCAGCAAGTGAAGGAGTTCCCTCGTCTGCTCCGCCACAACCCGCACCTCTTAAACGGCACCTTCGTCCCTGCCCTTGAAGCGTGGACGCAGATGGTAGAGGCCGACTCTATATCCGCCCAGAAGATCCAGTCGCTCCTTACATCAGCTCGAAAACTCAAGATACTAAGCACGGTATTTCCTCAAATCTCAAAACACTACTGCTGCTGTTTCCAGGGCCGTAGCGTGGTCGCCTCGTTGCCATCATGAGTTATTTTAAGGGCAAGGCATGTGGTTTCTACACAGGATTTCCGGATCAACATGGCTATCGTCAGGTCAACGACTCGTCATCTCTCAGGATCAGACAGACACTTCTTTCAACTCATCGCAATCCGTCACTCCCACTTGTCCATCTTTATCCTCCATGTCTACGCTAGACTCTGTACCTTCTTCAGTCTCCCCCATCGATAAGCTCGACCCATCATATCCCCTCCGTCCTTTACTAGAACAACTCGTCACATGGACAGAACCACACCTCACTCCATATCATGACCAAATTCGAACATGGAGCCACGTTGAAATGTCCCCAAGGCTGCCCAAGACTTTTCCCCACTTCCCTCGCCACTTCACATGCACAAACAAGGTCATAGACCAGGTACTCGAACCGGGCTTACGACGGTTTTGTCATGAAGTGGATACGGACCCTATGCGAGCAAGATCGGTACATACCCACACCGTATGGAAACAGATGGCGGCGGACTTCGGATTGGGTGGTGGTGATGGTGTACCTACTGATATTGCCATTCTACATCACTCCACTTATATGGCTTACGCTCAAGAACTTCCGACCAGAGGACTGGGTTCGAACGTTCAATTGAGTGCGGAGCATAGTCGTTATTGGCAATCTCACGCCGAATCTTTTTGTGGTACCTCTTTCGAGCGCCTTCTTCTCTGCGACGTAAGCCGTGTTGATCCTCCCCCAATTCGAGCGATAGTGGAGGAAGAAACCGAGCTGCGAGTATCGTCTAGTGTCTTTGAAGCCACTATCGAAGCTGTCAGAACCGATACGGTAGTGATCGATGATGGTTGTCAAGCCATCATCGCTGATCATGACATGCGACAGCGACTCGGTGGGAGAACAGTGGATGAGGTGCAACGTGTACTCACTCAAGTGAGTACGATCTACCTGCACCTTCTTTCTCTATCTTCATCTGACGGTAGAAGATGGGTTGCTGATGATAAAGGTATGGTGTCAAATGGCATGTTACCAAGTGCGACTTGCTATGATCACCTCGCACGAATGTACATTGCTCTTCTACATCGACAATGGGCAAGTAGAAGTAAGCGACGTCATGCACCGTCAGGGAGCTACAATTGAGAAACCATGTCGGTCTGTGGTCCCACTTTTCGTCGCTGTAACTTTGATGGACGAATCGGCACTCCTACTTCCTGAAGAATACTCCTTCAAGAAAACGGCGGTCACTCCGTCCACTCCTGGACCTTCATTGGACGGCCTTTGGCAAGCACTCCCGGCGGACCAAGGTCAATCTCAGTTGTCACCTTGGTGGGAGAGATGTGACTATAGAAGATATGAAGGAAATGTCGCTTTAGACTATGATCTCACATTCTCAACGATTTCTAACGTAGGCCCTGCTCGGACATCCATAGGAAAGCGGCATCTCGAAGATCACGATTCTCTATACCAAGTGAGCCACTTGAACCTCGACCACCTTTTCACATTTACTATCTTGAGAAGTGATAGTTGGTTCTAGTCACTGACATACAGCTTGGTCCTCCCTCTTTGCACATTATCCTCTCTGACGAATACACCTTCAAACGAGTTCAGCAGCAGGACGTTGAACACTCGCTCGTGAAGACCCGTAAATGGCCATCTTTACTGCATGGACCTGTGGCCAGCTGGCGCTTGCCAGACACGGGATTACCAATACTAAACTTACCATCCAACTTTCCTATGTTTGGTAGGCCAGAGAACACAGTTGATCGGTCCAACACTGGTGGTTCCATTGAGAGAGACTCAACTCATGTTGGTGCCATTTTCCGACCTCAGGTCATCCTAGTGGAAATGCTCTTGTCGTTTGGTGCGATCTGGGATGTCTTCCGACTATCCCCTATTCCGAACAGTACCTCATCCCCTTTCCCGCTCATAGGCAAGATTATCAACGCGGAATGTTTTAGGGAAGTTGTTCCAGACGTTTTCTTCGGTCATTGGTCTCGGGAAGGTATGTCACGTTCAACGCTTAGGCAGAACATCAAGAATGAGCTGCAAATACTAGCTCAACTTTCGACACTCAGTCCTACCTTGACCCCAAAGGTTTTAGGTCTGTGGGGAGGTATTCAGCGGGGTAAAGAAGTTTGGGTCATGATCATGGAAGATGCGGGTGAAGAGGTGATGATAGATAACGAAAAAGACCGGTGAGAATCTCAAAGCCATTCTTAATCATTCCTTCCTTCCTTACATCCCTCTGTCTTCCTACTTCTCTCACCTCACTCCATCACTCCCCGTATAGTCTGCCTTGTAACTAAGCATATTGTCAGGGTTTGATCTTGTTGATATCATAGTTGATATATCACAGAGAAGCAATAATATCAATGTATACTCGTCTTCACCAACGTGGTATCATTCACGGTGATCCTGAAATCCGACATTGGCGTCGTCCTTCTCCCTCTGAATCATCAGCACCCCCAGACCCGTCGAAGATCAGAATGATAGATTTTGATCGAGCAATTTCCAAAAGTTCCTTGACGAACGAAGAATGGATAGAGAAAACTCAAGAAGAAATGAATAAAGTTCATAAAATTCTGGAATTTGATAGATACGATAGATTGAAGGAGAAACATCGTGATGGTCCAATCCCTCTTGAAACGCTTCCCCCCTTGCCTGTCACAGAGTCATCTTCCTCTAATCAATCTTCCCAACACTCGATCAATTCACAAGACGTATCAGATACAAATTTACAATCGAGACTTGATATTTCCACCTGTAGTCAAGACCAAGTGTCATCCCCTTAACAAGCATTAGATGTCAATTGAGCTGGGACGACCTCAATCGATTCTCATACACTTTTGACTCTCATTGTCACGGAACATCGACGAGCTCTTGACTTGAATATGTAATCGAAGCACAACATCGGGGGTATCGATGAGATGTTCTCACTGAGAACCAAAGATGGGACTTGATCGCAGAGTACATGTCTAGCCGAGCAACGTAGAGAAGATTATGGAACAAGTTGGAGAAAGTCGAAACCCCTGATGAGCGTCAGATTGTTGCATATGAGATGAACAAGCCAACATGGTAGACTTAGATGAATATAATTGAGATCATAATAATCGAACTTTGGCAGATGAGCAGAAATGCATCAATAAGATATCAGGTAATTCGCTATACACGCCAGACGTATCAGTCCATCACGGTCAAATGTCATATGACACCTAGTGTTGTGTTTAATTCCCTCATTCGTCATTCATCAATAATCATTCGCACTCCACTTGGAATCAGTAGAGAGACAGAAGCGAGCAAGTATGAGGTTGGTCATGGACATAAGTGGGAAGGAAGTCCAACACTTGGTGTACAATGACAGGTTCAATAGCTCGCGCCACGAAGCAGTGAGTTGGAATAGGTCAGTACGAACATATCTGGTCAGCTCAGTTGATGCAAACCAAAGATGAAACAATGAAAAACAAGAATGCGCACCAGCGCCTGAATATACATTCCACTCCTACCCGGGTATATACCAATGACATGCGGGGTGTTCAAATCTCTTCTTATCCGACCCATTCCAGACTAACATGCTGCCAAACAATCACGAGTCTTCATTCCTTCTCAATCAGCCTTGTCCGAGGATAAAGATACGATGACTCACTTGCGTCCAGCGCGGGAAAAAGTCTATGTACAAATTTCGTTCAATGACCGAGGTGACGAGAACGACGACGAGTAAGATGGTTACTCAACTCGCGTTTGGAAGGTTTGTTCTTTTTCCTGCTGAGTCAGCACTGATCTCGTGTAGTACAGCCTCCCGCAAGTGGGATTGCAAGGGCAAGACTTGGTTTGGCAAATCTCCATTTTGTGAGGGACACATGAGGAACATGGAGGTGAAAGAAACAGAGGAATACTGAGAATGTCACTTGTCAGATATAGAGGTGAGTACAGGAGATGATGAGAAACGAAAAGAGCTACGACTCACTTGCAAACCTTCGGCAAATGCTTCGTCGAAGTCGCCCCAGCTGTCGAACATGTCTCTGTCGGTGTCGTACTTTCGTGTGATACTTCCTTCACAGGTGTAGCGGAGACACTTGTCGAATTAGTCGTACCTGAAGATTCCACAGGTGCCGCCAAATCGTTTCCTGAGCCAGCCGGGGCAGAAGTCCCAGATGATCTCCCCGCGATAATCTCAGCTTGTGTACCGACGTGGAGCAGGGATTGATCAGATCCGTCTGAACCCCAACGTACGAGACGACTGGCACCTTTTGCACCGAGCGCCGGGGTCCAGCCTTCGAGGGATTGAGTGTCATCTATCTGGGGAAGGGCTAGTGGGATGTGCGTAACATACTGGGAGTCAGCTCATTGCGGTATAGATTTTCAAGTCTTTTACAGAAAGGCACACGATACCTAGCTCGGTGGGATGAGAAGGAGTAATATTTCATTGACTTAGAGTCGTTGAGGCTGGCAAGGAGTGACGGCCTCGAACAAACGAACTCACCTTGAGATTCTCAAAGTACACATTCGGATAAACGTACGACGGATTTGGGGCCGGAGAAGTACAGGCCGGTTTTGAGGGTCCTTGTTCTGCGCCCCAGAGTCCGTTACAACCTGGGAGTTTGGAGATGGGGGTCCAGTAGCCCATATCTCTGATTGTGTCAGCTGTTGGTCGATAGCAAAACAGCGGAGATCCTGCAACTGGCGATGTATGAGGCATGACAAAGCATAAGCTTGTCGTGGGTGACCAATGTACTTATGTGTACAAAGCTGTATTCGTGATCACTATAATTGGGCTGATAGGGAGGGAAGGAAACAACGAGAAATGGTGACGGTAAGGTAGTGAGTTTGGTAGAGGTAGAAGGAAACAACGCGAGGAATCATGGACTCACTCATCCGGAATCTGATTCTGGTACCTGCAAGCCTCTGAATTGGGCTGACTTAGAGTGGGTTTAAAAGGTCCACACGCTCCTAAATTCTCCCCTACACCTTTGCCATACCCACATTGGGCAATGGCCTGGGTAAGGACATTTTGGTCCCACTGCATGTCAGCGAGGCTCAAACCCTGTCTCTCGTCTTGATGTGAATGCGACGTGAATTACCGGACGTTTGACGTCAAGCGGTTCGAAAGAGATTGCGGCTGAAGGAGGGAGAGAGACGAGTGGACAAGGCCCAGTGGATGACTATGCATGCACGCTAGTGGAGGGCTCGATGAATCTGCAATTGCGGAGGGAGGTAATTACTGATCTGATGGTTCTATTTTGCTGGATTGACACCGGTTTAGCAGGATAAAGGTGGAAGGCAAAGAAGGGAGGAAAGGTTGGGACACTCACGCCATTATGGAAATCAGCATGGTATGCACCTCCAACAGAATCACCATGAGATAATACAAGGATATTCTCATCGTTCCTCCACTTTTGCTGTGGGGTGGGGTAATAGTTCGATTCGTAGAATATGGTCGGATATTTGATCGGATGAGAAGAAGGACATGTGGCACCGTTAGGATCGCTGAAAGGTTTTCCGCCAAGGTATGAGAGTGGCCATGCCATGTGAGAGCTGAGTGTAAGTTGAACGTCTTGGTCGTAGTTCTTTGGTTGTAACATCTACTGAGAGCAATGGTAGTGCGGACAGTAAGCTATAGTGATCCAGCAAACGCCGTTCTATATCGATTGATCGCGAGAGGCTTGAGGAAGACCGATCGGTGGGAAAGGGATGAGACTAGGAAGGCAGGATTTGCACCTGGTTTCGAAGCGTGCCGAAGGGGGGAGAGAAGGGTGGCAACGATCTCGGACGGTATGTGAGGTGATGCACCAACTGATACGGACCGGATGGGCGGGAGATGAGCGACTTACAAATGATCAGGACTATCCAAATCCCCAGACGCTAGACCACAACTAGGAAAGAAAATTCCCAGACTAATTGCCGAGCATCCGTTCGGGTGAGCGGTGGCATTGGGCAGATACTGGGTTTGCAACCCGTGATTACAGGAAATCATTACTCCCAAACTCTTCGGATCGCTCGCATTTCGAGTGACGGCCGATCCTGTGATCATGCGCAAACCAGGTGGAAAAGGTTTGACATTCGGGGATTTCATAAAATAGTAGATACGCGCGCCGCCGAGCATAGGTTGGTAGGTGTTGTTTGGGTAACGATAGAAGAGCAGGCTGGGGGTTAGCGAGACCACATCGGATGTTCGATAGCTGAGGATCTCATCGGTTGGTCTGTATGCAGAATTAACAACGGGAAGATGTGGAAAGAGAAGAGGAGGAAGGAGGCGAGGAGCGTGTTGCGGAATGTTCCCCGCTCTACGTGAGGATCCTGGAGAGAAATGGGATGCTCACGGAGACCAGTAGTTGGACTTATCTGACCCAACGATATTTGAACTACATGCTGATTGTGTTGGATCACCCAGGTTTTCTGAGCAGTCAGTCAAGCCCGGACGGTATTCAAACCAATTGGCGCGACGCCCAAGTCGAACGATATTGCTATGAAGTGCAGACCTGAGAATGTCCGAGGCGTGGCAAAGGAGTAGTCCCGAGCGCTAGGATTGATGGCTGTGAAGCCACCAAGCAGGAGCCAAAGGATTCTTTTGAAAAAAGGAGAAGCGAGCACAATAGTGACATCCAAAGAAAAAGCGTGTATGGGGACAAGTGACGCGTGAAAAAGATAGACAACATGAAGGGACACAGAGAGTGTGGTGGCCGAGGAGAGTTTAGAAAGAGATGCGAGGGAAGAGATCCAGTGGGATAAGGGATTGTAGAGCATGAGAGGGAGGGGGACCGCTGAAGAATGGACGCGGATTAGTGACCGAGCGAGGATGGAGGAGAAAGAGTGTGGGTTAAGATCAGTTGACTTGGACTCACGACTGAACGCAGATCCACCCAGAATGGTATGAGCATGCGGACTGACAGCGTTTTCAGAAACGATAGGATCCATCCTTCCCGAAACCAACGTCTGTAGTTGTGTCAGGATGAAATGATCTTGCAGGCCTGAAACGAGGGTTGAGTGTAAACTCATGCAGAGTAAAACACTCAATTGCGTGCATATTGATGATCAGGGGAGGTGTCCGGAG